ACAGGAACAGGAGGACGACGAGGACAGGGAGACAGAGGCGAAGGATGAAGAAGAAGAGGAGAGGGAACGGGAAAAGGAGAAGGCAGAGGGAGGAGGAGGAGGAGGAGCAGGAGGAGGGGTTGAGGAGGAAGACGAGGAGAGGGAGCGGGAAGCGGAGGAGGAAGAGGGAGGAGAGGGAGGAGCGGGAGGAGAGGGAGGAGGAGGAGGAGGAGGAGGAGGAGGAGGAGGAGGAGGAGGAGGAGGAGGAGGAGGAGGAGGAGGAGGAGGAGGAGGAGGAGGGGGGGGGGGGAGGGGGCGGAGGAGGAACGAGGCGGAGGGAGAAGTGGAGTACGCCATGCCGGTTTTCCTTAAAAACGCAAGTGGCCCAAACGATCCCCAAGCCGTAGCCCACAGGTGCTGTCCCCATGCATTGCCCCCAAGTATCGCCCGAATGCATGGCTCCAAGTATCATCCCCAATTATCGCCACGAGAGTATCGTCCCCAGGTGTACTGCCCCCAAGTACTGCCCCCCGAGACGGAGCCCTCCATCCAGCGACGCGCGCGCAGGGGAACCATAAGACTGTTCGGGCCCCCCTGTACTTTCATATCCACTTGAAAACTCACCAGCCCTCGACCGCAGCTGTCTGCGTCATCTGCAGAGCTGGATCGATCAGATAGAGCCCTTGGGCCCGAAACTGGCCGAAAACGTGCAGCGTGAAAACATGCGTCCGAATCTCAGTGTCGTCGACCTTTGCTTGGCGTACAGACAGCGTCTTCGTTTCTGATGTTCTGGGCGTTCACAGAAACTTTCGTCGCCACGGCTGGGCGCAGCTCGACAAATTGTCAAGGATGAGCCCCAGGAGGGACCCCGGGACTGACGTTGCTTATGTGTTGGGCAGAATCCTCCTCCTCCTCCTCGTGTTTTGTTGTCGTTGCGACTGCAGCACACATCGCCGCAGCGGCCTCCTTGAGAAGCAGTGGCGAGGCCGTTCCATGTCGACTGCCTCTCGCTGCCGCCTCGGCCGAATGTTCCATCCACAGTCGAATCGCGCCCTGGGTGTTGTGCTCCACATCATGCACGTCGGTCGTTGAAAGTAAGCATTTCCGAACTCCCAGATCCCAATCTGATTTAGGCGCCTTCCTACTTCAAGGGTCGAGTGGTTTTACCTCCTTTCCTCCTCTTCAAGTGGCGGGCGGGAGCCCAATCTACTTCCAACGCCTTCCTACTTCATGTTTCTACCCACTTCTTCCGACCAGCGGGTAAGTGAGGTGGGGGTGAGAGAGGGTGTTGGTCGCCCAGAGCCCTCGCTAGCTTGCGGTCTACCCGCTGACGAAGGATACGAGGGGCGGCCTGCTCCCAGGTCTCGAGGCCGTGCTGCGTCGGGTGGCCGCGCGCGAAGAGGAGGTTCGAGGTTTCTAAACGTTGTAAGCTGCATCCCTTGGGGGAACCAACAAAAACAAAACAACAGACACAACTCCTCCCTCCTTTGTCGGTCCTCCTCTCTCGCCTGCTCTTTACCTTCCTCCTCCTCTTCCTCCTCCTCCTCCTCTTCCTTTATTCTTTCGTTCGTTCCCTTCTCGCCTGCTCCCGTACCTTCTCCCTCGTCTTCCTTCTCCTCCCTCTCGCCGCACTCTCCTTCATCCTTCCTCCTGGGCCCCCTCCTTCCCCTTTTGCCCCCCCCTTCCCGCCCCTCGGGGGGGATCGGCCGGTCTCCCAGCCGCTCAGCCTCTCTGTTCAGCCACGGAGCTGCCTGGCCGCTGTTGAGCTGCAGCTGATCCGGTCGAGCCCACCAGCGAGGTGCGCTCGCACCCCTGAGGGAGACTCGCCATCCCCCAGTTGCATCGTGGCTGCATCCGCTTCGGCGATAGCCCCTCCCCTTCCCCCACATCCCTTCTCAAGGGTGGATTGTTGATTGTTGGGGCCTAGGCGGTTTTCGTCCGCCGGGCAGGACGGGACATGAGCACTGTCGTTGGACAGTGGAGGGACCCCTGACAGCGCTGTGGAGCGTGGCGCTTTCTCCTGCCGAGTCGATCCGATCTCGCGACCTCCCTGTCGGGGGAGCGTAGGACCCGGGTTTGCCGGGACTCGGGTTCGCCATCGTTTTTTGACGACCGCGCCTCGGATTTTGACGAGGAGGAGTTTCGTGGGATGTCTGCAGCGGGAGGCCTCGTCAAAATGCAGGCTCGGCCTCGTCATTTTTTTGACGACCTCGTCGGGGATTTCCGAGTCCCCCGTACCCGGGTCTTACGTCTCCCCGACCCTGGCGGGGCCCGAAGACGGCCCGAGAGGGCCCGAAGAGGGCCCCACGGTGCCCCGAGAGCGCGGCGGGCGCGCCGGGCAGCTCCTGGCCGACCGTCCACACCCAAAGGGAGCGCCAACGGGGAGCTTTGGGCGGCTCTCGCGAGCGGCAGGAGGGAGGAGGGACGAAGTCTCGGGTCGGGCGAAAGGGGGGGATTGGGAAAGGGGGGGTTACGAAATTTGCTGCATGCAGCTGGTTTCGGCCTCACCGAGGGGCCCATTCCTCGATACATAGCCGCCTCCGGCGCCGGGAGGCGCCGGGAAAATCAGCTACGTGAGCTGATTCTCAAACCCCCCCTTTGCTATCCCCCCCTTTCGCCCGACCCGACTCTTGCGAGCGGCAGGAGGGAGGAGGGACGAAGTCGGGAGGAAAAGGTGCCCATACCGCTGCCCTTCCCTCGTTTTCCTCTTCGTGTCCCGCCTCCTGGGGGGCCCTCGTCGCCACCGCTGGATTCGCTTGGAAATATTTGTCAGAGCGCACCCCGGGAAAGGTCCGTGGAGTAGCGGTATCAGTATTTTTCGATTTCCCCATTGCGCCCCCTTCCCTGGCGCGCGGCAGGGGCGGCGCTGCAGGGGCCGCCAGGGGGTCCAGCACAGATGCAAGAAAACCGCCCGGACCGTCAAACTTTGTGTTTCGTATTTTCTGTAGCCCCCACTGAAACGCAACACCAGGACGGAGGTGTTGCGCCGTATTCGGCCTCCGGTGGCCTCATCCCCCGTCGGGCTCCAGCGCCATCAAGCCGATGTTTGGGAGGACGAGACGTCCCCGGGGAGTGGGTCAGGAGATGGCGGGGCCGCGCACGGAACAAGCAGGGGCAGTGGCGGTTGAGGAGGCGTGGCAGGAGAAGGGGGCCGAGGGGACGGCAGGAGCAGCAGCACCATCAGCAGCAGGTTTGACAAAAAGGGCTCGTAGGACAATCGGACTCAGCAGGAGGGTGGTACGATGAGGAGAAGGAGGTCACCACGAGCCCCAAGGCATTCCCCTGACTCTTCGACCCATCATGAGGTCAGTCTTGGACGTCCAAGTCTCTCGACTTCTCTCCCATGTCTCATCCTTGAGTTGAGTTATCATCCCCAGCAGCCCCCCTCAATGACTAACTTGGGGATCTCTGGGAGCTTCTTTCAGGCCTGTGTAACCATCTCTTGGCCTTTTTGAGAGTCTTTGGGGCTTTCTTGAGGCTCTTTTCAGCACGTCGGGGGCCCTGTCAAGGCAGTTCTGGAGGCCAGCGAGAAATTACATAATTCTGCAAACAGATAATTCGTGGTTTATCTGGGGCTCTTGGGGTGATCCTCGGGGCCTCTGGGGTCCTCCTGGAGCTCTCTCGCCGGACCCTTGCAGCTATCATGACCCATCATGTTGTTATCTTGAGGCTTCCGATGCAGAACGCGGGAAGGCGACTAGGGTCAACCCGCATAGTAAGGATGAGCGATGTTCCTATGTTGCCCTTGCATCCTTTTCCTTCGGCCCATCCTTGACCGCTTTGGCTGGCCTCGCCCCGCTCGCTAAGTGTCGACATGGCCTTCCAAGGCTCTTGCATCCTTATCGTGTGTCCTTGTTACAGTCAACCTGCATAGTGAGGATGAGCAACCTTCCCAAAGGTACCCTTGCATCCTTGCCCCCTCGGCCCACCCTCAGCGACCTTCGCTGGCCAACCTCGTTCGAGAAAGGTTCACACGGGCCTCCAAGGCTCTTGCATGGCAATCGAGCATCCTTAGACAACGGGTTGACTGTATACGGGTCGACTCTATCACCAAGAGCCCAGAGGCTCGTTAGTCTCCACTGGAGCCTCCGTGGGGCCAGCCCCGAGAGCCACCTCGGAGCCATCGTGAGAACATGTTTCGGGGCATGCTCGAGCCATATATTGGACGCCATCGTGACCAGCTCGAGCAATCCTGGGAGGCAATCTCGGGCCGTGCTGGAGCCACCGGTGGAACTCAGAACCCAGATAGCGGAGCGCCAGAAGGCCTTCCCAAGGCCTCTGGAAGGACTCTGAAGGCTCTTGGAAGGAGCTTCCGCAGGAGCTTCTGGAGAGCTTGACGGCACGCGTGTAACGAGTATGGAGACGCTTGCTTGAATACGCTGCCAGCTCAAGCAACCTGCTGCGACGTTGGAAAACGGAAGTCGGAACGAGCCCCTGAGCTGCCCTGCGGTCCCCGCTTCTAATGTGAAACCCTTTGAGCTCTCAGAGGGCTATCCAGGAATTTGTGGCCACCTTGGACGCTTTGACTTCATGCGCGGGGGGCCTCGGTGCAGATCCTTGAGCAGAGGTGCCTGGGGTGTGGTCAGCCGCTCCCCCGAAGGGGGAGAGGTCTGGTACTTCGAGCCACCTGCGTTCAAGGCGCAGGTGGCCCTCGTCTTCAATGTGGCGTGCCGCGCCGGCGGCCCGCGCAAGTCACCCCGCATGGTCGCAAAACCTTTTTTCGTAAGACCCCCACGTTTTCGTCGCTCATTCGTCTTCCCGAGACTCGTTTCCTTGAGGATGCATTCCCAGGGCCTTTGAAGATGCGCACCACTCCGCTCCTCGAGAGAGCCCTCCTTTGACAAGCAGCGCAGCGCAAGCTTGCTTCGTAGGTCTCGTTCTAAGAGGGTCATTTGTGGCATCGGGCGGCGCGATGAACTTCGCACTGGCTTACGTACAGCAGCGTGGCCAAGGGGGCGCACTAGCTTCGGGCTCAAGCCTAAAACCTCAACCCTCCTTCGGAGCCCGTGACTTCGCGCCAGATGCCGTCTTCAACGCCAGAGCCGCGGCCCGTCTGCCCCAGCGCTGGCGCCGGCCGGCGGCGTCTCCGGCGGCTCCTGACGACGCCGCCGGCCTCGCCGAATCGCAGCCCCGAGCGACGTGACCCTTCGCAGGTGCTGTCGCCTGCCCTGTGGGCGCCGCCGACACCGCCCCCCCTCCTGCGAAGTCCCAGCACGGCTGCTGGCGGCCAGCGACAACGCCTCCCGACGACACCGCCGGCCTCGCCGAATCGAAGCCCCGAGCGCGGGGACCCTCTGCAGGTGCCATCGCCTGCCTTGCGGACACCGCTGCAGACGCCGCCGCTCCTTCGAAGCCCCAGCGCGGGTGCTGGCATCCAGCGCCTCCAGCGGCTCCTGACGACGCCGCCGGCCTCGCTGAATCGAAGCCCCGTGCACCAGGATACTTCGCAGGTGTTATTGCCTGCATTGCGCATGCCACCGCTGCCGACGCCGCCACGGCCCGTGCCAGGGCTCGTCTCCCCCAGCGTGGGTGTTGGCGGTCAGCGCCTCCAGCGTCTCCTGACGACGCCGCCAGCCTCACCGAATCGAAACAACGAGCAGGACCCTTTGCACGTGTTATCACCTGCCCTGCGGACGCCGCCGCCGCCGACGCCGCCGCGGCGCAGTTGCGAGGCAGCGTCGAGAGCCGCTCGTGGACCCGACAGAGGTGCGTGCAGCAAGCCGTGCAGTGCTGCTCGCAGTAGGCCGTGCAGTGCTGCCCTGGCGGTAGGCCTCGGCCTGAGCGAGTACTCCCCTGGAGGCGACGGATCCCCACCTCGAGACGTATTGCAAGAGGTCGCACGCGTATTTGCGTCCTGCGATTGGGAGAGCGCCACAGTCGCCAACGCGGTGCCGCGGCTCGTGCGGCTGAACGCCCACTTCCCCACCGCTTTCGCAGAGGCGCTGCTGCAGTGTGCGCGAGTCCTCCTGGCTTCCGTGGACGCTCGCGGGCTCTGGGCCCGCACGTCGGCAAACCTGGTGGAGTTGCTCGCCGCTGCTGCCGCGCACGCGGAGGCCTCGCGCGACTTGGAGCAGGACCCGCCAGCGTTGGGCCCGCTGCTCACGCTGGTGCTGGAGGTGCTTGGCGGCCAGGACGCCGTCGAGGCGCCTCGCGACCGCGGGACGCGGCTGCGCGGCGCTGAGCTGTTGTGGAGGTTGCTGGCTGCGGCGCCGGCAGATGCAGGCACCGCGGGAGCCCCCGCCGCTGCTGCGGCCGAGAGCGTCCTGTTGCGGCTCGCCCGTGACCGGGTTCCCCAGGTACGCGCGGCGGCCGCACTGGGGTTGGCGCTGCTGCCCAGCAACGAGGCCACTGGTGCACTGGCGCTCGCAGCGGCACGAGATCCCAGCGCTAAGATTCGCGTCACTGCGCTAGCGCAGCTGCAGATGAGGGAGGGGGACCTCCTCGACCACAAGACACTGGCGCTCCTCGCCAGCCGGGCAGCGGACACGAGCCCTGCCGTGCGGCGCAGGCTCTTCGCGGCGTTGGCGCCGGCCGCGGCGTTGTCGTCGCAGCCATGGGCGGCCCGGGCAGAAAGCCTTGGGCGACTGCTCTCCAGCGGCCTGCGCGATTGCTGCAGGGAGGTCCGTATGGAGTGCGAGGCGACGATGCGCTCGTGGCTCTCGGCAGACCACAGCAGCGGCGGCGTGCTGGCCCTCGTGAGATCGCTCGGTGCGACGGGGAGCCCCGCCCAAGAGGCAGCTGCGGAGGTGGCGCTGCAGAATCTTGCGGAGTGGCCCGGGTGGCAGGACGTCGCCAGCCCGTTGGCCAACGCATTGCTGCGGGGGGCTGGTGCCTTGGAGCCAGAAGAGGTCTTGGTAGCTCGCTGTGCGGTGATCCGTGACGCCGCAGACTGGGGCGTCCCTGGTGACGTTTTGGGCGCACCCGTGCTGAAGCGTGCCTTGGCGGCCGCCGACGCGGGCCACGTCTTCGAGCTGCGGCAGATATTGCTGGTGCTGCTCAGTGCGCGGGCAGCGGACTGTGCTGGCAACCGACAGTTATTGCATGTAGCGACCGCGGTCCTGCTCCGGGCGCCAGCGGAGCGCGACGGTAGTGACTTCGTGCAGGCATTCGCAGCGGCACCTCGCGGCCGGCAAGCAGGCGGCAACGCCAGCGCGGAGATTTTCCATTTGGCGGTGAGCTTGGCCCGCAGGGCGTTGGGGATTTGCCCTGGACGAGGGGTGGCGTCCCAGCGGCTGGAGGGCGAGTTCTCCGATGCCATGTTGGTCATATTGCAGGTCCTTTGCGGCACGCCGGCAGAAGATGGCGCCCCGCAGCCGTCGCAGCAGGGCCCCGAGTCTCTGGAGGCCCTCGGCTGCCGCGCACAAGGCGCCTTGCGCAGGGCGCGGGAGGCGGCAGGCGAGCTGGAGGCACTGCGCGCATCCCGCCAGGGGCTGCGCTGCGTGGGCGCTCCTGGGCTGCTGGTCGAGGCCAACGCAGCCGCCGCCGAAGCCACCGCTGCGGAGGTGCTGGCCGAGCTCGGGGCGCGGCTGTGGCGCGTGCTCGGGATAGCGGAGGCTGTGCTGTCGCACTCTCGCAGGGACGTTTGCGAAGACTTCGCCCTCAGCCTCCTGCTCGAAGACGTGCTGCGCCCGGCTCTCGCGCACGCGGAGGCTGCGGCAGCCCACGACAGGGGCTGCGCGCAGTGGCCGCGGCTGCGGACACTCGCGCTGCGCTGCGTTGCCCTGCACGCCTCGATGTCAGCGGACACCGCCATCCAACATTGGCCATTCTTTGTCTCGGTGCTTGCCAGCTACGTGCCGGCCGTCCTGAGCCCCCCGCCGGGCGACAGTGACGCGGCGTTGTCGGTCGAGCAGGTGGTGGAGCAGTGCATCCTCTTCCTCGCGGACGCGCTGCTGGTACACCGGGAGGACGACGCCGACGTCACGCGCCGCTTATCGGAGCTCCTCTCTGCCATGGCGCCGCTGCTGGGCGCGCGGCATGCGCCCCGCGGCCAGGGGCCATCTTCCCGCCTGCGAGGCGTGCTGGCGCAGAGGCTATGCACGCTGCTGCTCTACACCAGCCCCGGGCAGCTCTGCGCCCCAGGTTCGGCCGAGGCGCTCGGCCTAGCGGGCGGGTTGCGCTGGGCGCTGGCGTGGCTCCTGATGGAGGCATTCCTGCGGCCGCCCGAGCCGCCAGAGCGCAGGTCGGACGAGGCGGAGGCCGAGGAGGGCGCGGCCACGCGGGGGTGCTTGCTGCGTTTCCTCTGCCTGCTGCCCAGACTGTCGGGAGGGCACCTGGCCTTGCTGGCGGCTGCCGCGGAGGGGTTCCTGTCGCTGGAGCTCTGGCGGCTGGGCGCGCTGGTTCGAGTCGGGGCCGGGCTGCGCTGCTGCGCGTTGTCGCTGCCGCGCTTGGTGCGCTTCTTGGGCAGGCAGATTGCCACAGCGGCGGGCGAGGGTGCGGGCACGGCAGAGGAGAGGGCGCGGCTCTGGCAGCAGAGCCTCTGGCGCCCGCTGGCCCTCGCGTGCCTGGAGAGCGCGGCGGTGGATTCTGCATCCTCGGCGGAATTGCCGCAGGCCTTGCTCGCCGCTCTGCCCGTGAACTCTGAGGGCGCCGACGCGGCCGCCGCGGTCGGCCCAGGGAGTGGCGCGGGGTGCGATGTGGCCGAGCTCGCCTGGGTCCCAGCGTCGATGCGGTCGGCCTTCGTCTCGGAAGTGGCCTGGGTGCTCAACCGCGCTGTGGAGCTGTGGGGCTGGAATTCCGCCGCCGCCGGGCGTGGCGTGGACCAGCTGCCGCAGCGGCTGATTCGTCTCCGCAGCGCGCTGGCCCCTGCCGCGGGTCTGCCACAGGTCGTTACGATCGAAATGGGTACGGAAAGGATAGGTACGAAGACCGACAGCACGTCCTGCCCATTTTGATCAGGACTCGCTGTCGGTGTCGCCGCGGGCGTACCCAAAGGTAACCGCTGTCGCTTTTGGACAGCATTTGTTGTTGGGCATCGTGCCCATGTTTTGTCCGGAATTACCCATTTCGGGCGTCCAACACAGGACGTGAACTGGGCATCCGAGTACGTGAGGGCAGATAAGGCCCGGGCGCAGCTGCGGGAAGCCGTCGAGGGCCTCGGGGTCGACGTGGTCGGCATCCTCGCGACCGTGGCCGTTCACACGAGCGAGGCGGCCGCCTCTTCCAGGCAGCGCCGCGACAATGCTGGGCCCTCCCGTGGGCGGCGCGGCGCCGGCCCGATAGCAGCGGCCAACAGGCTGCCCTTCTCCCTGGCTCGGCCCCAGGGCGCCAAACGCGCCGCCAGCCGCGCGCCTGTGGGGTCCAGCGCCGCGCGCTCCAAGAGACTGCACCTGATGCCCGCGGTGCCCCCAGGGCCAGGGCCGCTCGGGGGCAGGGAGGCCGCTCGGAGCGACAGGCCCGGCAGCTGGCAGGCGCCGCCGGCACTGCCGCCCGCGGCGGGCGGGCCTGCCGCCGCCTCCGCACCGGGTCCAGCCCGCCAGGCGGGGTCGGCGGCGGCGCTGGACGCAGGCGTGGCAGACCTGGAGCGGCAGCAGCGCGAGGATCGGCTGCACGAAGGGTGGCCTTGCGCTGGAGTGACCTTTGCTGCCCAGCTTTGGGGGGGCACGGGTGGAGGGGGGCAGGCCCGAGCACGTGGGCCGCCACTGTTTACCGAGCGCGTTCCACTACTCGCAAAGGGCCTACTCGCAAACGTCCGAAGAAAAACACAGAGTTGCCTCGACGCAATGGATCGTGAATCCCCCGCGGCGGATCCGGGCGATTTGCGAGTAGCCACTTTGCGAGTAGTGGAGCGCGCTTGTCCAGCTGCTGCATCGCACGCAGCGACCGGCAGGCCGCGCACCAAGGGCCACTCTCGAGCGCTGCGTGCCGCCGAGAGGAGTGGGCGGAGCTCCGGAGGGAGGCCTACGAGTGCAGCCAGAGGTTCCGGGCGTCCGTGGCGCGCGTGCAGGCGGAGGCCGCCCGTCGTCTGGAGGAGCTCGCCGGCGTGGCGGCCGCTGCCGGGGAGGAGCTGGAGGCGCTGGGCGCGCGGGAGCGCATCGAGGCCCGGGCGCCGGGGCGGAAAGGCACCGCAGTGGCAGGCGCCTCGGACTCTGCCGCGCCGGCGCAGAGTCTGCCGCGTCACGGTCGTGTCCGAGGTGCACGCCCCCTTCGGAGGTAGTTACCCGTACCGCTGTCCTGTGCTCGCTTTCGCCTCTGTGGGCCTCCTGGGAGGCCCTCGTGGCCACCGCGGGGTTCGCAGCGAAAGCGTGGTCAGAACGCACCCCAGGTGCGGTCTGTCGGGCGACGATATCTATACATATCCACTGCTCCCGGCCAGGCCAATCCTGGGCCCAGGAGCGGTGTATACGCCCTCCTGGCTTGGCCAGGGAGGCATATACACCGCTCCTGGGCCCAGGATGGGCCTGGCCAGGAGCAGTGGATATGCATAGATCTCGTCGCCCTAGTGTGGGGAGTAGCGGTGTCGGTACCTTTTGGTTTCCCCACCTTTGGCCTCCCCGCAGAGGCGGCGGACGGCGTGGACCAGGAGTCGAGTCTGACGAAGAGGGGGGGGTCGGGGGCCCAGAGGTTGGCACCAACACCCGTATCGGCGGTTGCCTCCACCTGGGAAGGATGGTCCTGGTCTTGGTGGCGATGGAAATGTTCGGGTTCTCAGGTGGCCAAGAGATTACCACGAGCACCAAAATTCATGTCCATCTTTCCCCGATGGAGGCCACCCGTGCTGGTGTTTGTGCAAATTTCATATGCCTCCACAGGGTGGTGATTAGGCAGAGGGGAGTGTTTTGAGATTTGCTGCGCGCAGCTTGGTTTTGGCCCAGCCGCCCGGCGCTTTCATCCGTGCTGGATGAGTGCCCTTACCTGTCCGGCGTCAGATTGGTATCCCCCCCGTTCCAGCTGGGAACTCTACCCAGTCATCGCCCAGCTTATATCATGCTCGATACACTCCTGGCGATCAGCGCCAGGAGTCTAGGCCTCCCAGATGGGGTGAGAGTAATTAGATGGGGTCGGAGGATCGCGCCGCATCGCCGATGAATCACCGATGCGGCTCGATGTAGAGCTCAGTTTTCTCCACGCGACGTCGCCGATGCATCGGTGATGCATCGGCGATGCGGCGTGGTCCTCCGACCCCATCTACCCTGACCTTACCTCTCTAGGGAGGTGCCAGGAAAATGCCAGCTACGTGTGAGCCGATTCGCTGCTACGCCCCCCCCCCTTTGCTATCCTCCTCGATCGACCAACCCGTAGGAGGCTGTCCGCGCCGTTGCCCTCCAGACGCGGTCGCTGCTCCTCAGGTCGGGCGGGGCCAGGACGAGGATAAATCCGTTCCAGAGCGCTCCGGAACGCTCCGAGAAGGCCGCGGCGCCGGAGACATCCTCCGGAGCCGCGGGATCTCAGAGGTCCTCGATCTATCCTCACCCGATGCTGCCCTCGTCCCGGCTTCGTCCTATCAGGGCGAGACGCGAGCTCGAGGCCGCGGTCGAGATCTGCCGCCGCGGGGTTGCAGGCGCGACGTCGGGGGGCGCTGTGAGCGCCGCGGGGTCAGCGGCGTGAGCCTGCGCTCCTCCTCGCCCTCCTCCTTCTCCCTCATCCTCCCCTCGTGTCTTCGTCCTCCTCCCTCGTCCTCCCTCGTCCTCCCTCGTCCTCCCTCGTCCTCCCTCGTCCTCCCTCGTCCTCCCTCGCCCTCCTCCCTTGTCTCGTCCTGGTTCCTCGTCCTCCTCCCTCGTCCTGCTTCCTCGTCCTCCTCCCTCGTCCTCGTCGTCATCGTCGTCCTCCTCCACTGGGAGAGTTTGACACGGGGGCGGAACGAATGGGGACGAAGACAGACAGCAGTAGTGACATTTTCCGTTCGCGACGAACTTCGCCTGCCCAGCAGCGGCCGTTCCCGATTCTGGGACAACTGTTGCCCTTGAGCATCGCCCTCATTCTTTCTGTCCCCATCGAAGGCGCTCTACTTCCTGTCCTCATTCTTTCTGTCCTCATTCTTTCTTTCTGTCCCCATTCTTTCTGTCCTCATTCTTTCTGTCCCCCCTCATTCTTTCTGTCCCTCATTCTTTCTGTCCCCATCGCTCCAGCGGTGTCATGCTTTTCCACTGCGGCGGGCGCGTCACGGCCAGTGTGTGGAGGGACGTCCTGGCGCTGCCCGCCTCGACCCGCCCCCGCGAGAGTTCGTGGGCTTCTCTGCAGCTGTGCGCTCCTGCTGGGTGGGCCCAGCGAGCACGTCGGTGCAGAAGCTCCTGGGCCTTTGACATGGGCCGTCGGAATGCCGAAAAGAGGCAAATTCCAAAATCCTTCAACCACCCCAGGAAAATCACTGATTTTGGGCCTCTTCGGGCCCTCCTGGAGGACCTCTTGGAGGCCTCTTGGGCAGTCTTGGAGGCCTCTTGGGGGCCTCTTGGGCCGTCGTGGGCCATCTGAGACCGTCTTGGGTGCATCTTGGGCCGTCTTGGAGGCATCTTGGGGCCATCTTCGCCGTCTTGGATGCCATCTTGGCCGTCTTGGAGGCCTCTCGGGCGGTTTGTGAGCCCTCTTGGGAGCCTCTTGGGAGCCTCTTGGGCCGTCATGGGGTCATCTTGGAGGCCTCGTGGGCGATCTTGGGGCGATCTTGGGGGCCTCCTGGGCACGTCTTGGGCCGTCGGAAAACCGAAAAGGCGCAAATACCAAAATCCTTCAACCACCCCAGGAAAATCAATGATTTTGGCCTCTTCGGGCCCTCCTGGAGGACCTCTTGGAGGCCTCTTGGGCAGTCTTGGAGGCCTCTTGGGGGCCTCTTGGGCCGTCGCGGGCCATCTGAGACCGTCTTGGGTGCATCTTGGGCCGTCTTGGAGGCATCTTGGGGCCATCTTCGCCGTCTTGGATGCCATCTTGGCCGTCTTGGAGGCCTCTCGGGCGGTTTGTGAGCCCTCTTGGGAGCCTCTTGGGAGCCTCTTGGGCCGTCATGGGGTCATCTTGGAGGCCTCGTGGGCGATCTTGGGGCGATCTTGGGGGCCTCCTGGGCACGTCTTGGGCCGTCGGAAAACCGAAAAGGCGCAAATACCAAAATCCTTCAACCACCCTAGGAAAATCAATGATTTTGGCCTCTTCGGGCCCTCCTGGAGGACCTCTTGGAGGCCTCTTGGGCAGTCTTGGAGGCCTCTTGGGGGCCTCTTGGGCCGTCGCGGGCCATCTGAGACCGTCTTGGGTGCATCTTGGGCCGTCTTGGAGGCATCTTGGGGCCATCTTCGCCGTCTTGGATGCCATCTTGGCCGTCTTGGAGGCCTCTCGGGCGGTTTGTGAGCCCTCTTGGGAGCCTCTTGGGAGCCTCTTGGGCCGTCATGGGGTCATCTTGGAGGCCTCGTGGGCGATCTTGGGGCGATCTTGGGGGCCTCCTGGGCACGTCTTGGGCCGTCGGAAAACCGAAAAGGCGCAAATACCAAAATCCTTCAACCACCCTAGGAAAATCTATGATTTTGGCCTCTTCGGGCCCTCCTGGAGGACCTCTTGGAGGCCTCTTGGGCAGTCTTGGAGGCCTCTTGGGGGCCTCTTGGGCCGTCGCGGGCCATCTGAGACCGTCTTGGGTGCATCTTGGGCCGTCTTGGAGGCATCTTGGGGCCATCTTCGCCGTCTTGGATGCCATCTTGGCCGTCTTGGAGGCCTCTCGGGCGGTTTGTGAGCCCTCTTGGGAGCCTCTTGGGAGCCTCTTGGGCCGTCATGGGGTCATCTTGGAGGCCTCGTGGGCGATCTTGGGGCGATCTTGGGGGCCTCCTGGGCACGTCTTGGGCCGTCGGAAAACCGAAAAGGCGCAAATACCAAAATCCTTCAACCACCCTAGGAAAATCTATGATTTTGGCCTCTTCGGGCCCTCCTGGAGGACCTCTTGGAGGCCTCTTGGGCAGTCTTGGAGGCCTCTTGGGGGCCTCTTGGGCCGTCGCGGGCCATCTGAGACCGTCTTGGGTGCATCTTGGGCCGTCTTGGAGGCATCTTGGGGCCATCTTCGCCGTCTTGGATGCCATCTTGGCCGTCTTGGAGGCCTCTCGGGCGGTTTGTGAGCCCTCTTGGGAGCCTCTTGGGAGCCTCTTGGGCCGTCATGGGGTCATCTTGGAGGCCTCGTGGGCGATCTTGGGGCGATCTTGGGGGCCTCCTGGGCACGTCTTGGGCCGTCGGAAAACCGAAAAGGCGCAAATACCAAAATCCTTCAACCACCCTAGGAAAATCTATGATTTTGGCCTCTTCGGGCCCTCCTGGAGGACCTCTTGGAGGCCTCTTGGGCAGTCTTGGAGGCCTCTTGGGGGCCTCTTGGGCCGTCGTGGGCCATCTGAGACCCGTCTTGGGTGCATCTTGGGCCGTCTTGGAGGCATCTTGGGGCCATCTTCGCCGTCTTGGATGCCATCTTGGCCGTCTTGGAGGCCTCTCGGGCGGTTTGTGAGCCCTCTTGGGAGCCTCTTGGGAGCCTCTTGGGCCGTCATGGGGTCATCTTGGAGGCCTCGTGGGCGATCTTGGGGCGATCTTGGGGGCCTCCTGGGCACGTCTTGGGCCGTCGGAAAACCGAAAAGGCGCAAATACCAAAATCATTCAACCACCCTAGGAAAATCTATGATTTTGGCCTCTTCGGGCCCTCCTGGAGGACCTCTTGGAGGCCTCTTGGGCAGTCTTGGAGGCCTCTTGGGGGCCTCTTGGGCCGTCGTGGGCCAGCTTGAGGCCATCTTAGGCCGTCTTGGGTGCATCTTGGGCCGTCTTGGAGGCATCTTGGGGCCATCTTTGCCGTCTTGGAGGCCATCTTGTCCATCTTGGAGGCCATCTTGAGCCGTCTTGAGCGAAGAAGCCTACGAGCTGGGCACCCTGGCGTGACGGGCCGAAGCCCCAGGGGGAGTTGTTCTGGACAAAAAAAAACAAAACCAAAACCGAAAGGGTCCAGCACGCCAGGCACACTTGTGATGAATCGATAGGGGGCGACGGATCGAAGACGCCTGCGGCGAATCACCGCCGCCCCCGGCCTTTTTGGAAGCGCCTACATGGCCGAGCGTTGAGGCCAGACCTGCCAAGCTATCGGATCATGTGTTCCCCGAGTCGGTTTGGAAAGCTTTCGGGGAACACGTGGGCATCAAGGTCATCTTGGCCGTCTGGAGGCCATTTTGACCCTTTCGGGTCTTCTTGGAGGACGTCTTGGAGGGCTCTTGGGCCGTCTTGGAGGCCATCTTGAGCGTATTGTGGACTTCTTGGGCCGTCTTGGGGGCCTCTTGGGGCCGTGTCTTGGGCCTCTTGGGCGATCTTTGGGGGCACTTGGGCCGTCTCGGGCCGTTGGAAGGCAGAAAAACAGCAAATGCCACAATCATTCAACAACCCATGGGAACTCAATGATTGTGGCCTTTTGGGGCCTTCCTGGAGGCCCTCTTGGAGGCCTCTTGGGCCGTCTTGGGCCATCTTAGTGCCATGTTCGGCCGTCTTGGTGGGTTCCTGGTCCGTCTGACGCCGTCGGAAGCCGTTTTGGGAGCCGACTTGGGGCCCTTTTGGAATGCTCAAGGGCCGTCTTGGAGGCCATCTTGGGCGTCTTAAAAGGCCTCCTGTGCCGTCTTCGGGGCCTCTTGGGGCCGTCTTGGGGCCCTCTTGGGCCGTTTAGGGGCCATCTTGGAGGCCTGTTGGGCGACCTGTCGGCGATCTTTGGGAGCTCCTGGGCCGTCTCGGGCCGTCGGAAGGCCGAACAGAAGCAAATGTTAAAATCTGTCAAAAGAATAGGAACATCAGTGTTTTGGGCCTCTTCTGGCCTTCCTGGAGGCCCTCTTGGGGGCCTCTTGGGCCGTCTTGGGCCAGCTTCGAGCCAACTTCGGCCATCTTGGTTAGTTCCTGGCACGTCTGACGCCGTCGGGAGCCGTCTTGGGGGCCTTTCTGGGCCGACTTGGGGCCCTCTTGGGGCGCTTCGGGGCCGTCTTGGAGGCCATCGTGGGCGTCTTGGAGGCCTCTTGGGCCGTCTTCGGGCCCTCTTGGGGCCGTCTTGGGGGCGTCTGGGGCCGTCATGGGGCCATCTTGGAGGCCTCGTGGGCGATCTTGGGGCGATCTTGGGGGCCTCTTGGGCCGTCTTGGGCCGTCGGAAAGCCGAAAAGGCGCAAATTCCAAAATCCTTCAAAAACTTTAGGAAATCAATGATTTTGGCCTCTTGGGGCCTTCCTGGAGGAGCTCTTGGAAGCCTCTTGGGCTGTCTTGGAGGCCTCTTGCGGGCCTTTTGGGCCGTCTTAGACCATCTTGAGGCCACTTTGGGCCGTCTTGGATGCATCTTGGGGCCATCGTAGCCGTCTTGGAGGCCATCTTGGCTGTCTTGGAAGCATCTTGGAGGCATCTTGGAGGCCATCCTGGGCCATCTTGGCCGTCTTGGGACCATCTTGGGCTATCTGGGGACGGAACAGGCATTGACTTGTGCAGTTTCTGGGTGGCCGGCGGGACGGGCCGGGGCCCCAGGGGGAGTTCTTTTTGAAAAAAGAAGCAACACCCAAACCCATATAATTTAGCACGCCAGGCACCCCTGCGATGCATCGACAGGGGGTGGCGGATCTAGTTACCTTCGGCCCATCCCGCCACCTTACCTGGGCTAAGGTTCAGAGGCCTGTTGGATGCATGTAAGCGTCTCTTGGGCTGCCTCTCGGGGGACTCGTGGATGGCTCTTGTTGGGGGCTTCTGGCAGGCCTCTTTGGGGGCCTATTTGAACCGTTTGGAGGCCTCCTGGGGCGTCTTGGTGGGGCCTCTGTAGGGCTCTTGCGGCCATCTTGGGGCGGAAGGCTCGAAGTGTCCGATCGTGGTCCTCCTCTTGGGCCCCTCGTGAGGCCCTCTTGGGTGCATCTTGGACCGTCTTGAGAGCCTCTTGGGCCGTCTTGGGGCCCTCTTGCGGCGTCTTGGGGCCCTCCTGGAGGCCTCTTGGGCAGTCCTGGGGCGCTATTCGGGGGGTCTTGGGCCCTCCTGGAGCGCTGGAAGCTGAGAATGAAGAGAAGGCTAACATCTGTCAACAACCAGCGTAAAATGAATGCTTTTGCCCTCTTAGGGTTCTCTTCGGGGTCCTCTCGGAACGCTTTGGGTCCTCTCTGGGTCTCTTGGGCCGTCCTGGGGCTACCTTGGGCGTCTTGGAACGCTCTTGTGCCGTTTCGGGGGCCTCTTGGACCCTCTTGGTTGCAGGCGCATGTCTCTCTTTCTCTCTCTCTCTCTCTCTATCTCTCTCTCTATATATATCCTTTTATGTCTCTCTGTGTCTCCGTCTGTCTTTCTGTGTGCCTATATGTATATATATATGCATCAGAGTGAGGGGGCTGAACCGAGCGGTCATTCACTGTCCCTGGGTGCGTAACCGAAGCGGAATTCCGCGATGCGGATTATTGTTGTTGGTGTTGTTGTTGTTGCTGTTGTTGTTGCTGTTGTTGTTGTTTTTGTTGTTGTTGTTGTTGTTGTTGTTGTTGTTGTTGTTGTTGTTGTCGTTGTCGTTGTCGTTGTCGTTGTCGTTGTCGTTGTCGTTGTTCTTGTTGCTGTTGTTGTCGTTGTCGTTGTCGTTGTCGTTGACGTTGTTGGTGTTGTTGTTGTTGTTGTTGTTGTTGTTGTTGTTGCTGTTGCCCAGTTGCTACCCTCAGTGGCCCCATAGTTGCCTTCTGTGGCCCCGCATTATCTGCACTTCGTGGCCGCCGCTCGTTCGCACTCTTCGTGGCCCCATACGCATTCCCTTCGTGTCCCCGCTGTCGCCATTCGTGGCCTACTTCGTGCCCTTCGTGGCCCTGCTGTCGTTCTCTCTCGCTCTCGCTTTCGCTCGTCGTCGCCGTCGTCGCCGTCCTCTTCGACGTCGTCGTCGTCGTCGTCGTTGTCGTCGTGGTCGGTCCCCTGTCCGTCCCTCTTGGGGTCGGGTCGACGGTCCGCGGCCGCCCCGCCGATCAGCGCTGCCGCTGGCCAGGCCGACGGTCCGCGGCCGCCCCGCCGCTTGCCGGGGCCCGGCCTGCAGGGAAGAAAGGTATACCCCCCAAAAGGGGTTCGATCGAAGACGAAGAGGGCGGGTATCGAGGGTTTGGGAAATACGCGTTATTGGACATTCGAGCATATAAGGGCGAACAGTCTTAAAATGATTGTTGTTGTTGTTGTTGTTGTTGCTGCTGCTGCTGCTGCTGCTGCTGTTTTGTTGTTGTTGTTGTTGTTGTTGTTGTTGTTGTTGAACATTATTTATTCTAAAGAATAATTATTGTTGGGGCCCCTGGTGCGCGGCCCCCTCGCCGCGCCTAGGCCGCAGCCACATTTTCATCATTTTCGTGAGGAAGTCTCAGGCAAAACGTGGGTGTCCGGATCCGGTTGTTTTGTTGTCCCCCGTTTTCCCTTGCAAAAAATAAGCTAAAGTGGACATTTCTTGTTCTAACATAACCAAATTTCAAGAATCCCTTGCAAAAAATAAGGTAAAGTGGACATTCGCGCGCGCAAGACGAAATCCTTCCAAAACCTTAGTGTTCGTAGCGATTTTAACATAAAAACATAAAAAAACAATGGTTTTTCAAAAAAAAGTGTCAAAATTTCATCCCGCGCGCTCTTGCGGATTTGTAGGAAACCCAACACTTTTTAAACATTTCTGTCAAACGGGCTTTTGCGAGCAACTTTTTCACGTGCTTCGAACTTCTCCAACAACGGTTGCGCACCTGCCAGGGCCGTTCAGGGGGAAAAGTCGTATACTAAGCTAGCGTCCAGAAAATGTTACCACAACAAGTCACTGTACCCATGCGCCAGTGTAGTAGCCACGGTCGTCCGCAGGCCACGAAGTGAAGTGTCCGAACGTCATAGGGCGGGAAGCTGGGTGTGGGTGGTGGCGAAGAGTCGTTTGGAAATGTGGTAGAGCTTGAACCGGCCCCCCCACAAAGTGGGGGTATTGGCGGGCGTCGTATGAAAACCCTGGCACTGGTGAGAACGGAGTGTCCCCACGTGCTAGTAATTGTTGTTGTTGTTGTTGTTTGCTGATTGTTGGTTGTTGTTTGTTGTTTGTTGTTTGTTGTCGTCGTCCCACCCGCGACCCGCACCGCGTCCCACCCGCGACCCACACCGCGACCCACCCGTGACCCCACCCGTGACCCCACCCGCGACCCACCCCGCGACCCAACCCGCGACCCACCCGCGACCCACCCGCAACCCACCCCGCGACCCGCACGCGAACCACCCCGAGACCTCCCCGGCGACCCACCCGCGACCCACCCGCGACCCACCCGCGACCCACCCGCGACCAACCCCGCGACCAACCCGCGACCATCCCGCGACCCACCCCGCGACCCACCCGCGACCCACCCCGCGACCCACCGAAATGTTCGACGTCGGCGGGTTTCTTTTGCATTCGTTCCAGGTGGAGAACGTGCGACCCACCCGCGACCCAAACCGCGTTCAGTGTACAAATCAAAATTTTCGGCGCCTGCGGCGGGCTGTTTTTCAATCCCTCGCAGGCAGAGGCGGAGAGCCCGCGACCCACCCGCGACCCAAACTACGTTCATTGAACCAGCCAGAACTTCGGCGCCTTCGGCGGGCTGTTTTTGCATCGGCGACCCACCCGCGACCCATCCCGAGACACACCCGCGACCCACCCCGCGACCCACCCGCGACCCACCCGCGACCCACCCGCGACCCACCGCGGCCCACCCGCGACCCACCCCGCGAACCCACCCAAAATGTTCGGCGCCTGCGGCGGGTTTCTTTTTCATTCGTTCTTGGTGGAGAACCTGCGACCAACCCGCGACCCAAATCGCGTTCAGTGTACAAGTCAAAATGTTCGGCGCCTGCGGCGGGCTGTTTCCTTCCACGTGGAGGTGGAGAGCCCGCGACCCACCCGCGACCCAAACTACGTCGACTGAACAAGCCAAAACTTAAGCGCCTGGGGCGGGTTTGTTTTGCATTCGTTCCAGGTGGAGAACCTGCGACCCAAACCGCGCTCAGTGTACACATCAAAATTTTCGGCGCCTTCGGCGGGCTGTTTTTGCACCGGCGACCCACCCGCGACCCACCCCGAGACCCACCCGCGACCTACCCCGCGACCCACCCGCGACCCACCCGCGACCCACCCGCGACCCACCGCGACCCACCCGCGATCCACCCGCGACCCACCCCGCGACCCACCCAAAATGTTCGGCGTTTGCGGCGGGTTTCTTTTGCATTCGTTCTTGGTGGAGAACCTGCGACCCACCCGCGACCCAAACCGCGTTCAGTGTACAAGTCAAAATGTTCGGCGCCTGCGGCGGGCTGTTTTTCAATTCCTTCCAAGTGGAGGTGGAGAGCACGCGACCCACCCGCGACCCAAACTACGTCGACTGAACAAGCCATAACTTTGGCGCCTGCGGCGGGTTTCTTTTGCATTCGTTCCAGGTGGAGAACCTGCGACCCAAACCGCGCTCAGTGTACACATCAAAATTTTCGGCGCCTGCGGCGGGCTGTTTTTGAATTCCTTCCAGGTGGCGGAGGAGAGCCCGCGACCCACCCGCGACCGAAACTACGTTCACTGAACAAGCCAAAACTTCGGCGCCTGCGGCGGGCTGTTTTTGCATTCGTTCTGGGTGGCCCACCAGCGATTCCCCCCGCTTTGAACTTGTCAGAGCATGCAAATCGGCGCCCGCGGCGGGCTTGACTTGCTCGCATTGGCTTGGGAAAGCGCCCTCGTGCCATTCCCCGATCCGGCCCACGTTGACTCTACGACAGCACATCGGCGCCTGCGGCGGGTTTGTGTCATCGACAGGGAAGGTGAGGGCAATCGATAGGGAAGGTGAGGGCCACGAGGTCCGCCGGCTCGACGCCCGCGTCGCCCGCGCCCGCCCCCTCACTTTTATCCGAAATTGTGGGGTATATAGTACCACATTGCTTCGACCACATAGCTCACACAACCACAGCATGATAACGTATTCGGTGTCCGCGTTCTCAAACATTTGTAATGTCGTTCTCGCTTTTTTTTTTTCTCTCTCTCTCTCTCTCTCCCTTTCTTTCGCTCTCTCTCTCACTGTTTTTAGTATTCTCGTGATGCTCGCATCGGTGCGCGCATGATGGGACTTTCGCAGGGGTCTGCTAGCTTGTTTTGGCGGGGATCCAAGGGAAGCGGGTCCTTCATCTTCCTGTGGATTTCTCCTTCATGCTCACGCTCTCCGCCTCCTCCTCCTCCTGCCTCCCTCCATCCCTTCTTCGCCTCTCCCCCCCGGATCGTCTCCTTCCCTCCATCTCTCTCCTGCCCGGGGTCCCCTCCCGAGGGCCTTGCCGCCCCCTTCCGCAGATGCCCCCCCCCCCTTCCCCACCTGCCCCCCAAGGCAGGGAGGACGGCCCGAGCCGCTGCCCAGGCGCTGCGCCGTCTGGCTGGCCACCCGAACATCATCAAGCTGAGCGAGGTGGCGCCCGGGGGCCCGTGGCCGGGCCGCGAGGGGGGGGGCATCGATGGGATTCTACGAGCGCTATACAGTTGGCGTGGCCGAGCCCTTCACCGCAGACCTCCAGCGGGGCGCGCTCCTCGACGAGCCTCGCTCCGTCGCGCCCTGGAGAAGTCGGCTTCAGTGACCGCGGCCGACGGCCCATGACTGCTGGGGTGCTTGCCCTGCCGGATCCTCGCCAGGTTCTCGTGGATCTTCTTAGAAGGCGTGCACACCCCAGTGAGTTGACGCGGGTCCTGGGCCGCGGAGGGGGGGTGAGCGGAGGGGCGGGAGGGGCGAGGGTGTCGCCCAGGTCTTTGGCATGGGAGCCCAGGACAGTACCGCGTCGCCGCTGTATCGGCGATGCGGCGCTGCCCAGGACTAGTACCGACGTCGCTAACGCGTCCTGCGATGCATCAGGCGGCGCTATCCAGAACCCGACCTTCGCCGTTGCATCTGGCGATGCGTTGGCAATGCGGCACGATCTTGTGCTTCATTTGCCCCGGCCTTGTGGAGGAGGCGCCCTCTTTTGGAGAGGTGCTGGAACGGGCGGTGGTACATCGGACGTGCCGGTCCATTTCGGTAGAGAAAGATATCTCGGCGCTTTCCCGAGGGCCCAACACCCATTTGCGCGAAGTTGGAGGGCGGCCAGGACCCGAAGGTGGGCGGGATCGGCTGCACGTGAGAGTAACCTTTCGCCGGAGTGACCCTCGGTGCGCGCCCAATGGGGCCCCCGATCGCTGAATGCGATGCGATACGGCAGCGGCTTGCGCGCCTGGTGGTGTCCCCACAGGGCCACCCCTGAGGCCGCGCACCAGATGACATGCTTGCCTGGGGTCCCTCTTGCGTGTAGCCGACAGGAGAAGTCGGCGGCGAGCCTGGGGGGGGAAGTAAGAAGGGGCGGGCCTTCTCAAAAGGCTGGGAAGGCCTCTGGCTTTCTGAGGCGCTTTGTACGCCTTCCGCGAGGATACAGAAAAGTCATCAGAAGGCCAGAGGGTTTCTGCCTTTTGAGAAGGCCTCCTCCTTCTCACTTCCCCCCCTCGCTCGCCGCCGAGAAGGGAGCGCGTCGGGTAGCCAGGGGGCCCAGGCCATGGGGAGAGAGTGGGGAAGGCCGCCCGGGGCGCCACTCGGGGGGCGGGGGTGGCTCTCGGAGGAGGGAGGCTCCTGGGCGGGCCTCCTTCCATGCTTCCATGGCGCAGCAGAGAGCCACAGCCACAACTGGAGGGACTGTTCGGGAGGGTCCCTCGGGGTACCAGTTCGACACAGATCCCTGTGCCTATGTTTGGCATCATTTTTTCGATTTCCGATCCTCAGGACTCGGCCGCCACCAGCACCGCGCTGGCTTCGGTGTTCTGACGACTGTCGGGGTGCGCAGGACCTCCTCAAGGGTGCGTCCTCGATGATGTGGTCGTGGTCGCTTGCTGTCCCCCCCCGCCCCTGTGCGCGCTGCCACGCGAGGGGAGATGGGGGGAGGGTGTGTGCAAGACCTCGGGCGCTCCGGAAGGCTGGGGATTGCATATATCCAGGGCTCCCCCGAGGGCGCGAAGTTATTCGCGCTTCGCGCTTCGCGGTCCTCGTTTCTCCTCCCCCTCCTCCTCGTCCTCCTCTTGTCCCTTTGGGGGGGCGGCGCGAGAGCGCGAAGTTATTCGCGCTTCGCGCTTCGCGCAGCGCGAAGCGCGAAGTTGGGAGCCCTTGCATATATAGAGATAGTTCTGGGCTTCGACCTCGGGAGGCTGGCTTCGGACCCTGGCGCACGCGCTGAAGAGATCAGGGCGTCGGAAGTTTGGATTCGTCAGGCATGTGTCAGAGCGTGAAATACCTACCCCGCTTTCGCTTCCAGGCAAAACCAAGTCATACCACGCGCCTCCTCGTCAAGCGGCCGGACCAGTACAGGCTGCAATTTGGCATCGTTTGGTATCTCTTGGAAGCGAGGGTGGTCAAAAGCGAGGTAGGCTTGGTTTCCCCCTAATGTGGGCGTGTTCGGTGAGCGAGTGCCCGAATTTCATCGCCCTCCTGGGCTCCCTCCTTCAGGAGGGAAAAAAAAGCAGACACAAGAAATCGCCGTGTTCTCCAATGAAGGTAAAGAAAAGATGGGAGGTGGACAAACAGCCAGAAACTATACAAGAGGTGCGAAATCTTGGGATTTGTGTCTATTTCTTAGTGTGTCCCTGGGCCCCTTAACTCCTGCTCCAGATTTATTATGAACGTCGCGTCGAGAATTTCGTCTTCGCCGCCGACGCGGCGCGATGGCTTGAGAGAGCGCCATGCTGGCCTGTCTGACAACCTGGCTGCCCACACGAGTTGGGCGTGAAGTTCTCGGGCCACCGATTGGACTTGGCTATCCCCAGACATCCGGCTCGAAAGAATCGAGCTGGCGGCTTTTCATGTTTTTCGGCCTCTCGAGGCTTTCACCAGGCCTCGGGAGTGTTAAAATTTGATTCGGAGTGAAACCCAGATTCTGGGGAAGTGGTCGAGAGGTCGTGGGCCCGTGTCTCGAACAAATTAAGATGCCAGATGTTTGGGTCTGTCCGAGAACGTGGCGGAATTGGTAGGGGGGCCGCGTGTGTTGGCGGGGCATTGCTTCTTCTCTCCTGACTCTCCAAGAGGGCAAGAAGATAGCACCAGAACGTTTGAACATGCATCGCAGTCACAATTTGTCTACGCGGCCCTGGCATGAATGTGACACGTCCATGTGTCTGGAGGGCTATCTCTTCTGCCCTCTGGAAGGCCCATGGGGGGGCCGAGGACCTCCCCCCCCATCCCCCGCCGTTCCTCTCTTCTTCGGCATGCTTCCGGGCCAGCGCTCGTCCGCGCAGCGTTCAGGGGGCGCGGCCCGCCTGGTGTGGCGCGGCCGCTCTCGACGGGTGCTCCTCCTCCTCCTCATCCGCCTCCTCCTCCCCCTCCTTCTCTTCCTCCTCCTCCTCCACCTCCCCCTACCCCCCTCCGCGTCGCACATCGCGGGGGATGCCATGCGCGAGGTCGGGTGACCTGACCGGCAGAAGCTGCGACAGAGGCCTCCAAGGTGGCCTTTGATGGCCCAAGAGGCCCCCAAGACAGTCACAGGAGGGCCCCAAGACGGCCTGAGAGGCTTCCGAGATGCCCCAAATGGCTTCCACTCGGCCCTGAAGTGCTCCACGAGGGCCCCAAGTCCGTTCAGGGAGGCCCCCAGCCTCGCCCCCCTCTGCCCGCCCTCCAGCGGGCCAGGCTGCGATGTCAGGCGCGGCCCTCTCGCCCTCGCCATGCTGTGCCGCGCTCTACCGCGTGCATCACGCCTCTGCGGTCGCAAGGCGTGGGATGCCGCGGACGCTGGCCCGGGCAAGGCGCGGACCTGTGCCCCCCGTCGGCGATCCTCAGAGAAGGAAAAGGTACCCGCACCGCCACCCTTGCCTCGTTTTCGCCTTTCTGGGCTTCCTGGGAGGCCCTCGTCGCCACCGTTGGATTCGCATGGGGATTCTGGTCAGAACGCACCCCAGGAGAGGTCCGGGAGTAGCGGTATCGGTACCTTTTGGTTCCCCTAGTTCCTCATTTTTCCCTCCCTCACCCCTCCTCTCCCCTCTACAATGATTCAATATGAGTACTACTCCAATTTTCCGATTGCGCTTAACAAGATAATGTCTTTCTGGGAGTTCCATGTCCGATATGGCATGCATCAGCGGGGAGAGAGAGCAAGAGAGCAAGAGAGCAACTCAACGCCATGGGAAGGGATGGAAGTGAGGGGTAGGACGTCAGATATGATGCGAGCGCACCTAGCTCGATATGAATTCTACTCTCCTCTCTCCTTCATGGCCGGGGCTCAGCCCGCCCCCTTCCGCGTATTTCTTGATGCTTGTTTCTCTTCTTACATGCAAGAAGGTTTTTTTTTCCAGTTGGTTGTCCCATGCTGCTTTGCAGTCGGTATGTTGTCAGCCCTTCAAAACATGTTTTGCCGCTGCAGCGTGGGCCCCATTTTAGGATCTTTGCTGTGCTCCCGTCGTTCAGAACGACACGGTCGCCCCGGCGAGGGCCGCTTTCCTGGATCCGAGCCTTTCCTCATCGTTGTCACCTCCTGTTTGTTCCCCTCCTCCGCCTTCCCCTGATCCTCCTTCTCCTCCCGCTCCTTCGCTCCAGCTCCTGCTGCTGCTGTTCGTCCTCGTCATCCTCCTGCTCCTGCTGCGCACGCGGTAGCGAGATCCGCTGCCGCCTCCTTCCTCCTCCTCCTCCTCCTCCTCCTCCTCCTCCTCCTCCTCCTCCTCCTCCTCCCGTTTCCTCCTGCTCTCCCTTCTCCCTCCTGCTCATCCGCCACCCCCTCCTCCAATGTGCGCAGCCCCCCTTTGTCCGATTGCGCAAACCACGATGGGGTCCTCTTTGGAATTGCAGGTCCGCTATGGCACGCGTCGGCGGATCGATAAACATCAGCGCCGTGGGATTGGATGGGTGTTGGGGGGTAGGATGTCAGATATGGCGCGAGCGCACCTAGCTTGACTCCCCCCCTCTCTCCTCCGCTCTCCCCCCTCTCCATTATCCTTGTTTCCATACATCTTCTCTCCTTCCTCAATCCCTCCATTCTCCTCTCCCGTCCCTCCTTACCCCCCTGGCGCATCCACTCTCCTTCGTTCCTCTCTTCTCCATCCATCCACCCGGCGGTCGCCAGAGTCTTGGAGGCCTCTAGAGGTTCCCAGAAGATTTTGGATGCATCTAGAGGCATGGAAATGGCCGCGAGTTTCCGAATATTTCCGCACTCCCCGTCGTCATCCTTTCTCCCATGGGCTCTTGCGCCACTCCTTTCAGGAGAGCATCCAGGCTTCTTTGACAGGCTCAGACGACAAGGCCTGGGACCCAGTACTTGTATCAAGGGAGGAAAAACCACCTCGCCCCCGACATCTGGCGTTTACTCAACGGCCCTGGGCGTTTACTAAGCAGCCCTGCCCTGTTCGATTCCTTCCTTGGGTGCGTTTACTAAACGGCTTCGCGTGGGTGCTTCTTATGAGGGTGGATTTTCTGCTTTCTCGCTCCCACTCTCTCTCTCTCTCGCACTGAAGTGGACAATCTGTTCTCGAGCTCGACGCCGTGGAGCCCCAGCCATTGCGGTTCCATCCTGCAGCCAGGAGGCGCACCTCGGCGAGGGGGCGCCACTCGGTCAGAGCCCTCCTGGATCCGTGATCCTCGACTCGGCGTCACCCCCACATGCTTATACTATACGCGCGTCGCCCCCATCAGGGGCGACGCGCGCATCGAGAAATCTTATAGTACGTAGCACCCCGCAATTGCGGATAAGAGTGAGGGGGCGGGCGTGGGGTGGGTCGCGGGTGGGTCGCGGGTGGGTCGCGGGTGGGTCGCGGGGTGGGTCGTGGGTGGGTCGCGGGTGGGTCGCGGGGTGGGTCGCGGGTGGGTCGTGGGTGGGTCGCGGGTGGGTCGCGGGGTGGGTCGCGGGTGGGTCGCGGGTGGGTCGCGGGCGGGTCGTGGAGCGGGGGGGGGGACGACGCAACAAAACAACAACAAAACAAGAAAACAACAACAATTATCCTCGCCGTGGATTCCCGCTTCAGCCACGCACCCAGGGACAGTGAATGACCGTTCGGGCCCTTTCACTCTGATATGCGTCGTGGCGGTTGCTTTCTGGCCACACCGCTCGGGAAACGATATACTACAAGATGGGTATACTATATGTTCGGGTCGGACGCGCGCCTCCAAGGAGGACGTAGTATTAGTAGTATGTCTCTGTGCGTCCCATCGATCCCCCCCTCGGTCCTCGATCCCTCCTCCTCGATCCCCCCCCTCCTCGATCCTCGGTCCTCGGTCCTCGACCCTCCCTCCTCGACACTCGACCCTCCCTCCTCGATCTTCCCTCCTCCCTCCTCGACCCTCCCTCCTCGACCCTCGATCCTCTCTCTTCAATCCTCGATCCTCCCTCCTCGACCCTGGGCCCCCCGAGAGCTCGGCGAAGGGAGGTCCTCTACGACGAGCCCACTGGCCGGCTGGCGCTGGTCTTCGAGCTCATGGACATGAACCTCTACGAGGCGACGGCGCGGCGATTTCTCGAGATCGACGACCACAGAGATCCAATGTATAGAAAAAACACGACGGAAATGTTTCACAGTTTTCGGCCTCTAGGAACCCTCACCGGGCCCCGAGACCGTCAAGCAACGATTCCCGATCCCGATGAAAAGCCGGCCCTGGGTAATGGGTCGAGAGTTCCGGGGACCCCATAGTCATTGAAAAATCATTATGATGCTAACATCCCTGGGGCCGTATTCTTGTTTGTTTCGCTTTCCACTTTTCGGTGTTCGGCCAGCCAACTAGTGGGAACCACAGCGGCGGCCCACGACAGCAACACCGGCAGTACCAAACGGAACTATACCAAAAACGGCGCGAAGGAGAGTCCTAAAACGGAAGCAAGAATGACTTCTCATTTCACACACAGCGTCGATCTTGACACTGGAACAAAACCGCACCCAGCTCTCGCAATGTCATCGAAGTTTAACCCCATGCCCTCGCGGTCTGGTTGCCGGGGCGCGATGTTCCACGGGCCTGCGATTCCAGATTCGGCGGCGAGCGAGGGGGGAACTGAGACGGAGAAGACCTTCTCAGAAGGCGGCGGGACTTCTCAGAAGCCCTCGCGCCTTTTGAGAGGTTTCCTGTGTCTTCGGGGAAGGCCCAGGAAACTTCTCAGCTCGCCTCCATATGGCAGTGCGTTCCGCGGGGGCAGCCTCGGATTGCCGCGGCCGAGAGGGGCCAGGCCGCGAGGCCGTGAACATGGCCGAGGGGCCCGAGAGGCGGCGACGCCGAGGCTGGTTCGAGAGACGGAAAGCTGCACGTAGCACCCCGCAGTTGCGGCCGAAGGGTCTTGAGTGAGGGGCGCGGGCGCGGGGTGGGGTGGGTCGCTGGATGGGTCGCGGGGTGGGTCGCGGGTGAGTCGCGGAGGTCGCGCGCGCAGGCGATGACGACAACAACAGCAACAATGATAACACCACCATCAACAATAAAAGTGACAGCAGCGACAACAATAGCAGCAACAGCAACAGCAACAACACCAACAACCAACAACCCCAAACACCAACGGCCACAACCACCACAACAGCAGCAATGATACCAACAACACCACCACCACCACCAACAACAACACCAAACACCACCAGCAGCAACAACACAAACAACAACCAAACCATCATCAGCAACGATAACAACAACACCAGCAACAACACCATCAACAACAACATCACTAGCAACAGCTACCCCAACAACAACCAACAACAACCAACAACAACACTCATTCTACATTGATTCGTTTTATTCTGCTCGCGTGTCACTCAACATGTATATCCCAAACCCCTCATCACCCACCCTTTTCGTATTCGATAGTACCCCTTGGGGATAGATCTGACCCGCCACGTGTAGTTGGCGAAGCCCTTAAAACAACGGAAAAGACGGAGGAGGGAAAGGACAAGGGGGAGGGAGAAGGATGGAGCACGAGAGAGATCAGCAGAAGGGGGATCAGGGGCAAGAAAACAAGTGGGCGGGTCGGGCGGACGGACCCAGACGGCTGGGTCGAGCGGGCGGGTCGTTGAAGCATCAAGGTTGCATGAATCGCGAGGAAGTCTCGTGCAATATTGCGATTCGCAAATTCATCTCAAGGAAGTCCAGAGTAAGGGCATGATTCCTGAGTATCGAGGGCGCGGCGTCTTGATAAACTGCAAGGAGGCCCCACGCGAGAGCGCGAATCCTGGATAGAATGTGAGGAAATGCCATGCGAGAGCGCGATCAGGCGGGAGCCGTTGCTGTTGTACACTGAGGGCCAGCAACACAATCTGAGGTTCAAGATTCTCCATAATAAATACAGGGTGCGAGCCGGGGGAAGATCAGTTTAATTGAAACACGCAAGGTGCACCGGAGGGGGGGGTGAACAATAGTTCCCCGCATCCTAGGTGGGGTTCTTGTTTTATCTGCACTCCCCCGCGCAGGAACCTCCCACCTCACCCCCTTTTGTCCTTCCTTCTTCTTTTCACACTCATCGTCACCATAGCCGTCCTCATCAGCATTATCATCATCGTCTTACTCCTGAGCACCTTTCTCGGGCGCCCTCAATCATCATCATCACCATCGTGATTGCCACCGTCACCATCACGATTACCACCGTCATCATCGTCATCATCATCAGAATAATACGCATCAGCATCATCATCATCATCATCATCATCATCATCATCATCACCATCACCATCACCATCACCATCATGATCACCACGCCTCATTGCCGTTGGTCATCGTTGCCGTCGTCTGCGGGCGAGGACTGTACATATCCAAATCAACTGCCTCTTTGAGTTTCGGGCTTCCTTCTCTCGCCACCCGATGGCGCAGTGGATGTGGACGAAGATTTGGTCCCATGGAGGCTAGATTTTTATGCACGTCCACTGCGCCTCGGCCTTGTGGCACCCCTTCCCAGAGAGCCCAAGACGCAGTGTTATGAATATGAGCCTTGCTCGCAATCGTGGCATTGCCGTTGCCGTGCAGCTGTCGGGCACGCCTGGCACAGTGACAGGCGTTTTTTGTGAGGCTCGTGACGCCTTCAGAGCGCCCCTAAGACGCTGTCGAGAGGCCGCGGCACCCGATGCATGCAGCGGACCCGCCGGCTCTGGGAGACCTCGAGTGATCCGTTCATCGGTGTTGTCCGTACGGTAGTGTCCTGTCGACGCGGCGGCGATTTTGCCGCGGGCGTTCAAGGTTGAGCGCCGCCAGTGGTCCAGAATCGGCCATTGTGGAACGATCTGGCGATCGAAAGCCGCCGATCGTTCCAGGTTGAGCGATCCACACGCGTGGGTCGTCACGACGCGAACCTGCCGTGCCATGTTTCGGCTCATGGCTACACGGACATCCGCCCCCTAACTTTCCCGCGCAGAGTACCGGGTAAGTGTTTTTTTTTCCCGCGTTGTGTTGCCGCGTTGGTGGCTTATCCGTATCGCATGGTCGCATCCTCTTCACGCGTAAGTATGATGCTCTCCTTCTTCTCCGCCGAGGGATTATTTGCCCAGAGATGCGACCCCTCTTCGCCCAAATTGTGCGAGGCGATCAAGGGAAGGCGGCACTACTTGCCAGAGAACAAGGTGAAGCTGTACACATACGAGATGTTGAAGGCGGGCGCCATCGTTCTCCCAAGCCGAAGTGTTTCGTTTCGCAGGGGAGCGTCGGCATGGAGAGGGGAGAGCGAGCAGCCAGTGTGGCTGGAGCGGGTGAGCTTGTGACCAGGCAATACGGGCTCGGGACGCGGCTGCATTGCTTCTTGCTTTGGGCCGATCGCTTCACAGCGTGAGTGAAAAGGGAGCGAGCGGGAGACCCACAAGTCCGAAGGATTGATTTGTTCGGTCCGCATGCCCCATAGGTCTCGCCGAGGACAGCTGCCAGTCCCGCAAACTGCCCCCCAAAGACAAGATCACCGGTGCTGAAACAAGAACAATCCGCCACATGTATGGGCAGGGAGCGGGAGACCCCGCACCTTGGGCACGGGGGCGGCGATGGTGGACGTCATAGAAGGGAGCCGTTACGGAAAGAGGCAGCAAGCGAGAGCAGGACGCAACAGCAGTGAGAGAGAGAGAGAGAGACAGACACAAGGCAGCGCAAGCCACAGCGCATATAAACACTATATAGATACATACGAGACTGCAGTGGCTCTTCGCGCCATGCACCTTGGTCCTTGAAGTTTGGTATGCAGGCGGAATGGCAGGAAATTCAAGCCGACAATTTAGCGATAACTCCTTGTTGCCTTTCCCGGCATCGCCGCTATAATAATGTTTTTCGTTATCCTTCTTCCATGTTTCTTTCTTTCATTTTCGCCATACCCTGCGCATTCTCCCCATCCTCCTCAGCTTTTTTTTGCGGATGCTCCTCCTTGGAGAGCTTCTGGGGGCCTCACAAAAATTGTTTCAGGCTTTCTTAAGGCCCTCTGGAGGCCTCCTGGGCGTATTCTGGGGGCCTCGGGGGGCTTCCTCGGGCCACTCTGCCTCCAACCGTGGTCTCCCTGAACGCCCGGGTCGCGAATTGGAATGCTTCCGAGGGTGTTTTGGGGCCGTCTTGGGCCGCCATGGGTCTCTCTAAAGGCCATCTTGGACCCGTGTTGTGCCGTTTTGGGGCTCTCTTGCAGTACCTGGAAGCCCTTTCGGATGGTTGCGGGGCGATTTTGGAGCCTCCCATGCGGCTTCGGACGCCCAGAAGACCGCCGTCTTGGAGCGTCGGGAAGCCGAAAAGAGCCCCAAAATTCACCAAAAACCATCAGCAAATCAATGATTTTTGCCTCTAGGGGCCTTCTTGGGAGTGCTCTTGGAGGCCTCTTTGGGGCCGTCCCTCTTGGGCCATTTCGAGGTCACGTCGGTCACTCTTGGAGCGCTCTTGTGCTGTCTTGGGGGTCTCTGGGACGTCTCCTGTGACCCCCCTGATCGCCCTAGGTGTGCTGAGAAGGCTTGGCAAAACGCCCTGCGAGGCCTGGGGGGCCGCTTCGAGGCCCGTCCGGAGGGTCCCGAAGCGTTTAGGGTTTAGGGTTTAGGGTCTAACAGGCTTGGCCACGATTACAACTTGCCCACGAACCCACCTGCGGTGGCCGTCAATCCCACCCGCAAGCCACCCCACCATAAAGATCATCTCTCCCCTCGTGAGAACCGCGTCGAATACAGCGTCGACGACGAGGACAACGACGACGGCGACGACGGATGTGCGATCCAGTTGGCACGCGAGTGCTGTAACGGGCGGGACGAGTCGGGTCGGGCGGAAGAGGTTCTGCACGCATGCGCAGGAAACGCTAGTCGGTAGAATCGGTGGATCGGGTCGCAACGGAAGGCACTTTGTATTGTAAAATGCAGGAGATTCTGCACGCATGCGCAGAATGTGCTATTTGTTGCAGTAGACGGAGCGGGTTTACATAAGAGGGGCGCATCGGATTGTGGGTGGTTTACATAGCGGGTCGTAAAGATCCCCATAGCAGGCTCGATCCAGGAGTGCGCCTGGGAGCACGCATGATCAGGAAATCGCATTTGTTGCATAGGATTGTGGGTGGTTTACATCGCGGGTCGTAAAGATCCCCATAGCAGGCTCGATCCAGGAGTTCGGATGGACGTTGGGACGCATGGGGTCTAGATAATCAGGGTTTAATACTTATACGGTTAAGAATTTAGGGTTTAGGGTTTAGGGTCCACTAGCCCAAACTTGCAGCCCAGTTGACCGTGTCCCACCCACCCATGACCCAAGACATATTGATCTCGATGCGGTATCAACACGCGACTCGCGAAACGACGACGAGGACGACACCGATGACGACGACGTTGATATTGTTTTCAAAACGACGACGACGCGGCCGCGCAAAGACACCTGGGACGCGGCTGCAACGGCGATGCGGCCCGCGCGCGTGACGACGCGATTTGAAGAACCACGTTTTTTGACGCGAGTCCCTGTGCGATGCAGGGACGCCGCCCAGCGGCGGAGAGGTTGCACGCAAGATCCACGCTTATTGACGCGAGTCCTTGTGCGACGCAGGGCCCCCCGCGGTCGCCGTGGGCGCACCGCCCAGCTGGCCCGCGGCCGCCTGCGCCGCCGAAGGGTCGGCGCGCCACCCCGCGTCCGCCGGGCCGCCCTCCCGCGAGCTCGCAGAGGGGGGACCGCAGCGCCCGCGGCCGCCTCGCCCGCCGCGGGGGCGCCCGGCGCCATTCCTGGCGCTCCGAGGCCAAGGATCTGCGTGAGGGGCGCACCCTGGGATTTGCAGATCCTCCCAGAACGCCATTCCTGGCGCTCCGAGGGCAAGGATCTGCGTGAGGGGTGCGCCAAAATGGGGGGGGGCGGCCGAAGGAGGGACTTAAGGGCTTTTAGGATTCAAATCTTTATAGGCTCTTAGTTTTTAGGGTTTAGGGTTTAGGGTCCCGCCCAGGCTTATAACATATAGGAAGAGGAATATGTATATATGTCCTGCAGAAGCGAGGCGGCGACACCGTCGCGGAGCGCTAAGGCGGGACACGCTTGAGCGAATCCATGTGGCGTAGCAGAAGGACGGATTGGATGACGGCAGTCACATGCAGAATATCCGTAGAATTGGATGCACGCGGAAGACGCCGAAGCGCATGCAATGCAATGCAGGAGGACCTTGAGGCGTGCTTTGTGGCTGGTGAATGCCGCAGCCCGATTGCAAGAGCGCAACACAGAAAATGGCACAGGCGGGCAAAGGTTTTCCCCGCCGGCGGCAGCAGGTGCGAAAGCAAAGCTGCTGCGCCACAGCCCGACGCGGGCAGGGGAGCCGGGCGCGCCACACCGGAAGAGGAAAGAGGAGCGCCAGCAGCAGCGCGGGTGCCCGCACGAATGATTGACGTTGCGTGCGCCGAAAGCGGGTCAGGGGAGCCGCACGCAGTCATGCCAACCCAACAGGGGCATGTTTTAGGATTTCTGGATCCCAATCTATTCGGCGCCTTCCTACTTCAAGGATCGATAATGCTTGTGCTATGGCTTGGTGTTCTCCGCGACTGCCTGAGCCAAATCTACTCTGTCCGCCATGCTTTTACCCACTTCTTCCGACCGACGGGTATTTGGGGAGCAACCAAGACGTGAACAAAATTTCGGAGGTTCGCGCGGATTTCTCGGATCGGCGCTGGACTCCCTTCCTTGGCGCGCTCCGCGCGCCAGGGGCGGCGCCAGAGTCCTGAGACGCCGCCAGGGGGGCCAAGCGCCGTTCTGAGCAATCCGCGCGGACTTCCGAAAGTTTGAGGCATTGTCCAAATCATTGTTCAAGTCATTGTTTGTTTCCGTGGGTAAGGGCCAAAGACAGAGTGGAAAAGTGCGCGACCCAGGCAGGTGTTGGGCGTCGGCCCACACTCAGACATACTGGTTCACCCGACGCGCCAAAGAATCCAATCGGCGTGTAATGTTACGGGACACGTTCGCAAATAAGCAGTTTCTCGGTGAAGTAGCGCGATCAGGCGATATTCCCAGAACCTCGAGGTGGCGACGCGGGGCTGGAAGACCAGGCGATGTGGGCAGCGCGAGCGAAGAGGCGAGAGGCGGGGAAGACGAGCGCCACGGCAGACCAGGCCAGGTGAGGGAAGGTGAGAACGCGCACCGAGAGGCCGCCAAAGGCAGAGGCGGCCCGGCAGAGGAACGGTCAACCCGAACAGATCGTATGATACGCCCAGAAGCCTGAGAGGGTGGGCGAGGGTCCTGGCCGTGGGTGGGGAGTACACGCCAGTCGTTGACAGGAAGTTTTTGTTGGGTTCCCAGATCAGGATCTATTTTAGCCAGATCCCTATCTACTTCAGCCGCCTTCCTGCTTCAAGAGTCGAGTTGTTCGAGAGTTGCTTTCCTTCTTCCCTCCTCTTCAGGGGGCGGGCGGAAACCCAATCTAGTTCCAGCGCCTTCCTACTTCGTGGTCCTACCTACTTCGTCCGGCCGACGGGTACAAAAGTCTCTCCCCAGGGCGTTGTTTTTGCAGACTGAACTTGGCCCCAGGTGGTAGATTCTGACTCGGGAATCTCAAGGAAAGGCGGCCAGAAAGGTGGAGGAGCAGGAAGGGGACGGGACGGAGATGCGGCGGGGCAGACCGGCGACACTAGCCGCGCCCGGCGACCGCGACAAGTTGCACCACGCCACCAACAGGCCACCGGCGCACGCACACGCACTCACACCCACACGCAGCCTTGCGAGCTTTATTTAATCGCTTCGCTCATGCCGCCGGCCCTGGAGCCCTCTTCAGGGCCTCTTGGGGGCCTCTTGGGGACCTCTTGGGAGTCTCTTGGGGCTCCTTGGCGGCGTTTTGGAGGCCCCCAGGGCCTCTTGGGGGGCTCTTGGGGGTAGTCGATTGCGGCTCCCCCCTCGGAGGCCACGATCCTCGTGAGGGGTGTCGAAAAATACCCTCCCCTGGAGTGGTCTGGTGGCTTCTCCCGGGCTTCTCTCGGGACCTTGCCGGGGTACTTTTCGTCCGGGGGCCCCCAGGGGCCGCTCCGCGCGCGCGAACTAGAAATATTGTTAACAAGTTACCGGAGATCTTAGCACGCCTCTGGCCCGTTGGGCCGGCGAATTCTTGGAGGCGCTCGACCACATGCACCGCAACGGCATTTTCCACCGTCAGCGGGAGGCCTCGTCAAAATGCAGGCTCGGCCTCGTCATTTTTTTGACGACCTCGTCGGGGATTTCCGAGTCCCCCGTACCCGGGTCTTACGTCCCCCTGATTGGAGGCGCTCGACCACATGCACCGCAACGGCATTTTCCACCGCGACGTGAAGCCGGAGAACCTGCTGCTCCTGGACGCCCTGCGCCCAGCGGAGCGGCGGCCGCCGGCAGGGGCTTTGGCACAACGGCCCTGCAAGCTCAGCGAGGGCGACAAGGCCCCTGCAGGGCCGCCTACGATCTCGGCAACACCCCAACATACTTATACTATATGTGCGTCGCCCTCCCAGGGGCGACGCGCGCACCGAGGAATCTTATAGTATATGCGTTGTGGCGGGCGCATTCTGGCCACACCGCTCGGGAAACGATATACTACAAGATGGGTATACTATATGTTCGGGTCGGACGCGCGCCTCCAAGGCGGACATATAGTATTAGTATGTCTCTGTGCGTCCCAGGGGCTTTGGCAAAATTGCCTTGCAAGCTCAGTGAGGGCGACAAGGCCCCTGCAGGGCCGCCTACGATCCGATTCGATGCGATGCTAGCCGCCTGCTGGGGCCGCAAGCCCGACTCGATTCGATTCGGCTCGATTTGCCGGCATCGGCCAGGGCCAATCGGAGACGAGCACGGCGATTCGGTTGGGGACGATTCGCTGGCGATGCAATCCGTTCCCGATCCGATTTCGCGATTCAATCCAGCTCAGGCCTGCCAGGGGAGGAGCTATCCGCCGCCGATTGCCCACACATCGCCGATCGGGTCCTGGGATGCCCCAGCCTGCCCCAGAGCCTCCTGTTTCGCTGTCTGGGGCCCCGGGGACATGATTTCGGCAACTGATCGCAGAATCAAGGCCGATATCTCCTCCGCTGAGTCACTACTCGGCATAAGGGGTGGAAGCGGATCTTGAACCTGGCTCTTTTCCCCTGGATTTTGGTGTTCCTCCTTGAGTCTTCCTTGTGACGGCCCTCGGACCAAGGGAAGGCCCCAAGAGCCTGAAAATGGCGAGGTAATCCCCAGGGCACCTCTGTCTTCTGGGACTACATTCTTTTATAATTAAGTACATATTCCAGGACTATCCCCCTGAAAGTCCTTGTGGAATATTTCCCTGTGGCGGCGGAAGTGTGAGCCGAGCCAGATAAATACTCATGATGATCTCCAGCCCAAGGATCGCGAAGACATGAACCGTCCGCATTCTGAGCAGGATCGGGGGTCGCACGATGCTGAAGAGAACGACTCTTTGAGGGCAAAGGTTCCCGTAGGGTTCTGCTGTTTCCGGGCTCCCCGACTCGGGGAGGGCCTTGGGGCCGTCAAGACATAGGTAGCTTTGTTTTTGGGAACAGCCCCATTCGGTTCTCGCCAAGATGTCTGTCCAGAGAGGCGGTCAGTTGGTTCGGTAGGGCGAGCGGCGCACCCCTCGCGCCGCGCGGCGACGCGGCCAGCTCCGACGAGCTTCCTGGGGGGGCGAGGTGTCCTGGATATGTGCCAAGAGCACGAGCTGTCCATCAGAGGTACGAGGTGGCCGTCGGCCCATCCCGCCGCCTGGATCGCGGACAAGCGGCTTTGTAGAGGCCTCTTTGGGTCTCTTGTGAGGCCTCCTGGGCCCTGGGGCCTCCTTACGGCCTCTTGCGGATGCTATTCGAAAGCCTTTCGGAGGACCCTGGTGGACCTCTTGGTGGCCTCTGGGGCCTTCTTGGGGGCCTCCACCCAGAAGGCTGTTTCGGGGCCATCTCGGAGTGCAGTGCGCCAAAATCCCCGTCGAGTTTCCCTTTGGGCCGTCTTGGACGTTCGTAAGACCGAGAAGGCGCGTATGCGAAAATCAGACAGCAGCCCAATGTCCAATGTAGTTTCAATGGATTTGAACTCTTGGGCCAGACCCCCGTGCCTCCACGGAGTCCCAGGACGACCTCGCGTGGTCATCTTAGTTCACGCGGGAAGTATTGACCCTCTCCGAAGGCCTCGGGAGAAGTCACGGAACACATTACAGACGCTTGCCCATCCAGTAACGATGCCTAGGTGAGTTGCTTTTATCAGGGAGTTGTAGGAGCAGGCAGTGGAACAAAGGCGGGGGGCAGCCGTCAAACCAAAATCAGCCTGAACAAACTGAAGAGTCAACCATCAGTGTCTCCGCAGATCTTTCAATATGGGACCCTCTCGGAAGCTTGTCTGGGCCATGGTGGGTATCTAGTGGGGCTTTTTGTTGGAGATCTCTTGGGTCCCTCGTCGCGCCGTCCTGCGGGCCTCGCGGGCCAACATGGGGCCGTCTTAGGAGATCTCGACGCAAGAAGAGGTGGCCTTATTGGGACCCTCTGGGGGCCTCTCAGAGCTCTGTTGAGGCTCTCCTGGGGCCGCCTTTAGACCTTATTAGGTCTCTCTTGGAGCTCTTTTTGGCAACATTGGAATTATGTGTAGGCCTCAGAATGCAGTCGGAAGTAAAAAGGCGAGAAAGCAACAATCTAGTTTTTCATAAGGTTTCCGAAGGACTTTGGCCTCTTGGGGGCGGCGTTCGGAATCTCCGTAGGCACCCTCTTAGATGCATATTGGAGGACATCCCAAAAGCTTCCCATGATGCCCCCGAGATGCCAAATCCGTTCTGAACGTAACACTTGGTTTGCGTTGAGTTCTGCTGTGAGCGAAGGGGGTGGTTCTTCATTGGTTTCGCAGCTGTTGAGCCCAAAAGGTGCCTCTTCGAGCTCTCTTTGGGCGCTATTGGGGCACTCCTGGGCGCTCTTGGGGCCCTCTTGGGGCGCCGGGTGGCGGCGGGGACATCGGCTGACCACACACCCCTGCCTGCAATCAACCAGAGATATCGGGGTTGGCAGTCTCGGAAGGGCACGAAAGAACACGACCGCAGAGGAGGGAGCGTCGTGAGGCGGCTGAGCTCGCGTGATGGTGCAGTCTCGGTGGTTCAAAGATGGGGTCCTGAGGGATGGGGTCCGAAGCACGGAGAGAGCGTGATCCACCGCCGCTTTACTGTGGAAAATTGCCAACCTTTTCCTCCGGAACCCGGGGGTCGCCCCCCCCCCCCCCTCCGAAAATCCCCCCCCCCCTGCTGGAACCCCTCCCCCCCCCCCCCCTCCCCCGGCAAAACCCCTCCCTCCCCTAACCCCTCCCCCCCCCCCCTCCCGCTCGAAAACCGGGGGGGGTCACTACCGGTTCGAACCCCTCCCGACCCCCCCCCCCCCCTCCGGATCCGGATCCCCGGTTCGAACCCCCCCCCCCCCCCCCCCCTACTCACCGCCAGCAAACGACTCCCGGTCCCCACCACCGTCCGCATCACATCCCCCACTGGTGTTCCCAGCACCACTGTCCTCACCACCGCTGTCCCCACTGGTTCCACCACCGCCCCTACTGTCCCCACCAGTGGCCCCACCACTGTCGCACTGTCCCCGCTGTCCCCAGAACTGTTCCCACCACGGTTCCACTCTCCCCACTGTCTCCACGGCCCCAACCACTGCCCGACTATCCCCACTGTCCCCACTGTCCCACTGACTCCTCCGCTGTCCCACTGAGCTGTCCCACTGTTCCCACCACTGTCCCCACTGTCCCCACCACTGTCCCCACTGTACCTCCGTCCCATTGTCCCACCGCCGTCCTCGCCACCGCCTTCACCACTGTCCCCACCACCATTGTACCCTCCACTGTCCCACTGTTTCCACCTCATTCCCATTGTCCCCACACCACTGTCCCCACCACCACCGTCACCACCACTGTCCACTGTCCCCCCCTGTTCCCACCATTGTCCCCACCACTGTCCCCACCACTACCGTCCCCACCACTGTCCCACTGTCCCACTGTCCCCACCACTGTCCCGCTATCCCCTCACCACTGTCCCCACCAACACCGTCCCCACCACTGTCCGCACCCCCACTCGGTTTTCGAGGGGGGGGGGGTTCGAACCGGTAGTGACCCCCCCCGGTTTTCCGGATCCGGAGGGGGGGGGGGGGGGGGGGGGGAGGGGTTCGAACCGGTAGTGACCCCCCCCCCTTTTCATGATGAGCAGGGGGGGGGGGGGGGTTCGAACCGGTAGTGACCCCCCCCGGTTTTCCGGAGGGGGGGGGGGGGGTTCGAACCGGTAGTGACCCCCCCCGGTTTTCCGCTAGCAGCGGTAGAACACGCTCTTTCGAAGCACGAGATGCCTCAAACAATGTAATTCCACCCTTGGATCCCTTCCCATCCTTAGGTCCCCATCCCTCAGGAGCCCATTTTTGAACCACCGACAGTCGTTCTGCAAGGGAAGACCGGGCGCCACCAGGCGTGCACGGGCGTGTTCATCCGGTCGCCGCACCTGTGCAGGGCGCGCGCTTTTTCCACGCCCTGCTTCTGGAAGGAGGAGCAGCGAACAAGGAGGAAGAGGAGGGTTCGAAGATCGGAGAGAGCGTGATCCACCGCCGTTTTACTGTGGAAAATTCCCCTCCCTCTTCCTCCGGAACCCGGGGGTCCCCCTCTTCGAAAATCCCTCCGCCACCCCTGCTGCACCCCCCCCCCTTCCCCTCGGCAAGCCCCCCCCGCCCCTAACCCCCCCCCCCTCTGGAAAACCGGGTGGGGGGTCACAACCCCCTGGATGAAAAAGTCCGGACCGCAGAGGTCGGGGAATAAGCCTTGTTGTTCGGCTCCCGTTAGGCCACGGGGCCCCGGTACAATGTTGCAGGGGCCGCCATGATTAAATTTCCGGTCCATCCTCACCCCCTCTAATATTATAATCGCCAAATGGGGTGACGACCAGAAATCCGCATTCCGCTTAATATTTCCTCCTAAAAATTTCCGGACGCTTTTCAGGCGACCGGAAATTCTCAGTGGCGACTGGAAATTGGCGATTTCGCTTGGGAATTTCTCGCAAATAAATTTCCGGTCCCCGTTATGTTGCTTGGAAGTTGCGATTCTGTCTGGTACTTCTTGCCAGGCATGTTTACCTCGGAGAGCGACGATGCAAGGGGGCTTGCAGTGCCGATCCGGACCTTTCAATCCAGGGGGTGGTACCGGTTCGAACACCCCCCCCTCCAGAAAACCGGAGGGGGTCACTACGGGTTCGAACCCCCCTCCCCCATTCACCACCGGCAAACGACTCCCAGGTTTTCACCACCGTCCGCACCACATCCCCCAGGGCCCAAGGATGTCCCCAGCACCATTGTCTCCACCACCTCTGTCCCCACTGTTCACACCACCGTCTCCACTGTCCCCACCAGTGCCCCCACCACTGTCGCACTGTCCCCACTGTCCCCACCGCTGTTCCCACCACGGTCCCACGCTCCCCACTTTCCCCACGGTCCCCACCACTGTCCCCACTGTTCCCACAACTGTCCCACTGTCCCACTGTCCCCGCCGCTGTCCCACTGAGCTGTCCCACTGTTCCCACCTACGTCACCACTGTCCCCACCACTGTTCCCACTGTACCTCTGACGCATTGTCCCACCGCCGGCCTCGCCGCCGCCCTCACCACTGTCCCCACCACCACTGCCCCACTGTCCCCACTGTCCCCACCACGGTCCTACTGTCCCCACACCACTGTCCCCACTACCACCGTCCCCACCACTGTCTTAGAGTCCCCGCCGCTGTCCCACTGTCCCCACTGTTCCCACCATTGTCCCCGCTGTCCCCACCAGTGCCCCCACCAGTGTCGCACTGTCCCCACTGTCCCCACCATTGTCCCACCATGGTCCCACTCTTCCCATTGTCCCCACTGTCCCCACCACTGTCCTACTGTCTCCACTGTCCCCACTGTCCCCACTGTCCCCGCCGCTGTCCCACTTTGCTGTCCCACTGTCCCCACTGTCCCCACCGCCCCCACCACTGTCCCACTGTCTCCACTGCTCCCACCACTGTCCCACTGTCCCCGCCGCTGTCCCACTGTGCTGTCCCACTGTCCCCACTGTCCCCACCACTGTTCCACTGTCCCCCCCACCACCGTCCCCACCACTGTCCCAGAGTCCCCGCCGCTGTCCCACTGTCCCCACTGTTCCCACCATTGTCCCCGCTGTCCCCACCACTGTCCTACTGTCTCCACTGTTCCCACCACTGTCCCACTGTCCCCACTGTCCCCGCCGCTGTCCGACGGTGCTGTCCCACTCCCCACCGCTGTCCCACTGTCCCCACTGTACCTATCACTCTCCTCACTGTACTACTGTCCCACCACCGTCCTCACCACCGCCTTCACCACTGTCCCCACCACTGTCCCACTGTCCCCACTGTCCCCACCACTGTCCCGCTGTCCCCTCACCATTGTTCCCACCACCGTCCCCACCACTGTCCCACTGTCCGCACCACTGTCCCAATGTCCCCACACCACTGTCCCCACCACCACCGTCCCCACCACTGTCCCAGTACCCCCACCACTGTCCAACTGTCCTGAGGAGCGGGAATCGTTTGCCGGCGGCGAGGGGGGGGGGAGGGGGTTCGAACCGGTAGTGACCCCCCTCTTCATGACGGATTCGGGGGGGGGTCGAATTGGTAGTGACGCCCCCTGGTTTTCGAGGGGGAGGGGGGGGGGGGGACCCCCAGTGACCCCCCCCCCCCCGGTGTTCCGCCAGCAGCGGTAGAACACGCTCTTTCTAAGATCGAGGATTTGAGCAGGGGATCGACTGCAGAATTGACGTACCCAAGAATTGATTGCTCCGTCGAAGCTACGAACAATACGTAGAATGCTCCGTCGATCTAAGGAATATTCGACGAATTTCGTTTTTAGATTCGGCGAATATACATTTTCAGGGCGCTTCAATTATACAGTCGATCCCGTACTCGAAGGATATATGAACGGGGTATTTTGTATTTCTGCGTCGGAAGGGCCTCCAGAGGCTTATTGAAACCTCTTGAGACCCTTGGGAACCTCCAGTCTTGACCCCTCTTGGCGCGCACGGGGGGCACGGGGGAGCAGCCACACGGACGCCCCCGCGTTCTTGCTCGTTCTTGTGGGAGATTGCGTGCTCTTTTTTGCCACTCTTGTGGACGAGCGGGCCCGAAGGACCTTCCTCCCTATCCTTTCATGCCGCTGCACTATCTGACCATATTCGCCGTCTTTGGATGGGTTCCGTGGCATGAACTAAGGATGAGATCAAGCTTGCAGACTTGGGAAGTTGCCGAGGCATTTATTCGCGCCAGCCGTTTACTGAGTATATCAGCACAAGGCGGCATCGTTACTGAGCATTACCGTTGTATCTCTCTAGCTGACCATACATGTTCGGAGTGTTGTTGGTGGTTCATTGTTCGTCTTATGTGCTATACTAGATCATGGGTCGAGATATGCCTTGCGATGGATACCTGCAGAACATTGAAATTGTCTTGGTCCAGCTGGCAGCAGCAAACTCAGCCACGGTGCCTGTTATTCCGAGCTCTCTGGAAGCGTTCGGTACAGCCATCCTGGGGTCGCTTGGGAAGCGGTTGTACGGCGCTAGCGTGGTGCAGCCGCTAAGTTGCATGGTTGTCGCGTTGCGCTGCGGGGGATATTGGAGGTTTGCTGGGGGCTTCTTTGGGGTACACTTGGGGACATGTTGAAGCCCTCTGAGGAGCTCGTGGGGACCTCTCACGAGCCTGCTCGGGGTCTCCAGGCCGCCGTTGGCGCAATGATGCCTCGGTCTTCGAGGAGAGGCTCAGGCAAAGCCACCTCGGAGCCGCCCGGGCGGGTCTCGGGCCCGCCAGCGGGGCGGAGGGTTGGGGGCGTCGTGGTTTTGTCTGAGAGTCTTCAGGAACAACGCATCAGCCACGCGCAGAGGGGGGTAGGAGGGAGGGAGGGGAAAGGCTTCTCGGAAGCACCCATGCTTCGTAGAAGGCGCGGGCCTCATCTATGGGTGTGAGGCGAGCGCCTTTGAGAAGCAGCCTCCTAAGAAGCCTTCCCCCTTTCCTCCTCCCTTGTGCGCGCCGCCAGCAGCAAGACAACTAGTTTCGTTGCCGTCCTGCAGTCATCCTGCAGCCTCGCAGCCATCCCGGGTTGATCGTGGGGCGTCTCAGAGCCGCCTGGAAACCGAGAAGCGCACCGCAGAGCCACATTAGCGGGCGATCCGTGTCGCATCATCTCGCGGTGAAGGGGTGCGCGCCAAGAAATTGCCAGGCAGCTATCAGGCATTCCAACACGTCCCAACGTTCCGAAGGCACGGTCGCGGAGCTTCTCTTTTCTTTGTTCTCGGTCGTATTTCTGGGCATGTCAGGTTCTTGAACGGTTCATCGAGACACGCGCATTTTTGTTTGCCGTATTAGCTCCCTTGCAGATATGTTTCTTCATTCGTCGCGTGTCTTCGTTCAGGCGATGTAGGGAATAGAAGTTGCCATCGCGAGTCGACGGGACGATTTGTTCGACGTTCAGGAGGGTAATCGGTTGTGGATATCAGGGGATGGTTTACGATTGTGATGCGAAGGCACAAACCTGATTTCCTTGATGTCCGCGCGGACATCCGACAGCTCATGGGCGTCGGTATTGTCACATGTTCCTTGGGCGTTGGTTTGTTCTACAGAGTGTGGTTTGACCGAAGGACGTATCGACAACCCTTTTCGGGCAATAAGGGTTTGCGTTCTATGTTGAATCCGTCTTGACTGGAAGCGTTCGCCGCAGGTGGTACCGGGCGCCAGAATGCTTGCTGACAGACGGGTACTACAACTTCAAGGTTTCCTTATGCCATGCTTTGTGACCATATTGAAGATTTCTGTCATATGTTCGGCCTGTTAGCTTTTCCACATCGCGCCAACGATTCGCCCAAATGGTGCGCACATGGAACAGCTCGTTCTTGGTGCGGCGGGTGATGTTGTCATGAGACGAGTCTTGGGAAGGATACGCTCACCCTTCGAAGGTATCGTGCCAGAAACCGATCGCCACACTACAGGAATATAGTTTGTTGTTGCTTCTTCTCCAAGTATTATCGAAGACGCCTACCGCGAACCACCGTCGCCTCCTGCCTCTTGAACATGCCTATGTGCCATCAGTTGTTGGGGGCGCACCGTCTTCGGGCTCTCTTGGCTTGTCTGACGCCTTCGGAGGCCGTCTTGGGGGCATCTACGGGCCCTCTTGGGCGCCTTCGGACCGTCTTTCGGGCCTCCATGGGGGCCTTTTGGGTCGTCCAGAGGCCCTCTTGGCCCGCCCGGAAGGCTTCTGGGGTCGAGCGCGCATTGGGCGCATCTCCTCCCTCCTCCCCTCCCTCCTCCCCGTCCTCTACTGCCCGTGCCCTCCTCCCTCACCCCTGCTCCTCCCGCGGGCGGACGCCGCTGGCCGCTTCAAAGAAGCCTTGTGCAGCAACGGCGCTCTCGCTCGCTCTCGCTCTCGCTTTCTCTTTCTCTCTCTCTCTCTCTCTCGTTCTCCCTCGTTCTCTCTCTCTCTCTCCCACGACGCGAGGGCGGGCTGAGCATCCCCCTGCGAGAGCGTCCCCCCCCCGACCGCAAGATGGACCTGTTCGCGGCGGGCTGCGTCTGCTTCGAGGTTGTCGCTCTGTTCCCGCTCTTCCCAGGGCAGAACGAGAACGAGCCGCGGCGGCCGACGCCTCTCTCGGCTACCGCGTGCGAGTGGACCTTTTGCCAGAGTGACCTGTTGGTGCGGGCCCACAAGGGGTCTCCCATCAGCTTTCGCTTGCGCGTTTGGGTCTGCCCTCCCCCCCCCCGCGGCCCCCTACAGCTAAGGCCTCCCATTGTTCAGAATTGTTCAGGGCCCCTCTTGCATGTAGCAGGCTCTTGCCTGCCTCGTCCCTTTCCCTCCCTATCGAGTTGTCGCGGTTGTTAGCGGCGCTTGGCCCAAGGGATTACTCCTCTTGGGTGGCGAGGATTCCTCGGGCCCCCCCTCCGGGTGCGTGTGCATGCACCGCTTTTCTGGCGCATTCGAGGAGCCAGAGCAGGCCAACACTTCCCAACCCCTCGCCGTCTTGCTTCGTGTTCTTGCCGAGGTCCACCGCTCCCCTTTTACGAAGCCTACTCTGGCGGGTTCACTCGACGCCGGGAATTGTGGGACACCTGGCTACAGACATATTCTCTAAGTTCCGAGCCCCGACCAATTTGCCATACATCCGACCTGCAAGGATAAGGTTCCCACGTGGTTGCCGATCTCCTCTGCCCGCCGCTAGCAGCGATTGCTGCCCACAGGGAGCGAAGCCCGCCACCCTCCCCGCCCTTGGTGGCGCTCCTCTCCGCCCCTTCCAGGGCTGAGGTGGCTGGGGGGGGTCCCTAGCGCGGGGTGGCGAGCCATTCATTCTCTCCTCTCCTCCCATCCTCGCTCCCACGCACGCTGTGATTCGTAAAACGTCCAGAAACGTGCCCCAACCGCCACCCCGAGTTCTTATAACCCAGCGCCCCTTGAGCCACCGCAGCTGCTTCGTTTCGGGCACTCGACGGCGGCATGCTGGGGGTCCCCACGCTGCGGCACGTGTTCGGTCGTGTTTCTGGTTCTGCTACGGGCCCTCTCCCTGCCCCAGCATAGGAGGACACATGCGAACTTTACCCCATCACGCCACGACTTCTAAGGGAGCAGGTTGGGTTCACTTCGCTCGTGAGGTCCCGAACGAAATGCACCCCACCTCCCCCCTTAGAAATCGTGGGGTGATGGGGTAGGGTGCGCATGTGGCCTCCTACAGCAGTCCTTGGCACTCTTCTCCTCAATACGATTTTCGCGATTTGACAACGTGCATGGGCCCCGAGGCGTCGGATCACGTGCAACAAGCTCCACAGCGCGTTGTGATTTTGCCACTTGTTGGGGACAATGCGAGGACCAGATCCAGAAGATCCACAATGTGCTCGGCACGCCAGGGAGAGAGCTCGCGCAGAAGTTCAAGAGGAATGCGTCGCACATGGACTTCAACTTCCCAGAGAAGAAGGCGCATCGAGTATAGGGACGAGGACCCTGACATCCGACGTCGCGATAATTTCGTGACTTACGTCCCTGGAGCTTTCGAGCCCATCCCTGAGACGGTGTTTTCATCCCGGGTCCTTTATGATGGCTTTTGGCCTCCAGAGGCGTCATTCTGGGAAAGTTCAGGCATGCCGCCTTGTTTGTGACGAAGGATGTTTGCAAAGGGAGGGGACGGTATCGGTAGGTGCAGCGCAGCAGGGAGGAGGAAGTAGGACGTGGCAGGGACAAGAGGTTGCAGAGGTCTTGAGGTCCCCTGGGCCCGTGAAGAAATTTGAATGCCAGAGAAGCACGAATCAATTGCCAAACACGTTTCGCATCTTCCTTAGCCTCGGGGCGGAGGAAGGGGGGGGACAATATTTACAGCATCGCATCGCATCACGTGGCAGCCTTTTCAAGAGACACGCCATCTGAATATTTGAACAGGCCCTGAAACCTTGAGTGCAGGTTCCCTCGAAGCGCTGAGGACGGCAAACTCCCCGGAACCTCGATCTTTGATCTTCGATTATTGGGGAGGAAGACGGAGGGAATGGAAGAGGATGACGATGAGGGATGAGGGATGACGAGGAGGAGGAGAAGGCGCAGAATTGGATTGCGGCAGATTTCGTCCTCCTTCCTTGCCGCCGCTCTCCAGCAGGAGGTGCCCCAGCCTCTCTCTCTCTCTCTCTCTCTCGTTGTCGGGCTATTGCCCGAGACAGTTTACGCGGCATGCTGAGCGTTGTGTGTTGCACGCGGGTACAGCACAGTTTCTCCATTCCCCTCTCTCCCTTAGCATTTTTGGTTGTGACGGCATGGGATCCGCGGCACTCGTCAGAATAGGGCATCTCTTTCTCGAGATCACGCAAGGGGAATGCTTGCTCCTGCCCTGGACAATGAATCTCATGGTGCGCTCCCTGGGCGCCGAAGGCGGCCCTGCACCGCAACTGGACCTCCAGCAGAGCCAAACACTAAGCAAGCAGCTCTGTGGCATCGCTCGGACGTGTGCAATTTATCTCGGGAACGTTTCTTTGGTATCGAGGAGCATGTTGGGTCATCCTGCGCAACGAAACACGCGCGAAGCCCAACCATGCACGGGGAATGGACGTCCGAGCGATGGCGAGGCTCGCCACTACTGCCAAGTTTGATTACCAGGTCGGCCCTGATAGATCGAGGGTACCCATCCGTCCTGTGTTTCGCTGCCCATGCCCTCTTCATTCCCATGGCGATGTAGCCCTCGGGAGGGTCTTGTGTCCCCTCGCGTGTCCTCTCCGTTCAAGCTCGGCAGTTCTGATGTTCCAACCTACTTGAGCCCTGATCACCAGGAAGAACTTCGAGCACCACGAAAGTACCGGAATCGAAGGTTTTTCGCGTGTCGGACCCTGGGAGGCGATACTCGTTCGACGCTTCGCTGTCGTGTCGGGCAGACACTGCTTCGACACTTTCCTGGGTGCTCGAAACTATGTTCTGGGATGTGGTCCTTTAGTACAATGGGGACAACATAGTCCTACTGTCGAGTTTGATTAGCAGGTCGGTCCCGCCAAATCAAGGGTAGCTTTCTGTCCTGTGCTTCGGCACTCATGCCTTCTGCACTCTAGGCCTCCCAGATGGGGTCCGAGTAGATGGTTTCGGAGGATCGCGCCGAATCGCCGATGCATCGGCGATGCGGCTCGATGCAGAGTCCGATTTCCTCCACGCCGACGTCGCCGATGCATCGCCGACGTCGCGGGTGCATCGCCAATGCATCATGCATCGGTGATGCGGCGGGGTCCTCCGACCCCATCTTCTCCGACCCCTTCTAGGAGGCGTCCATACATTCCCAGGGCGATGTGGCACTCGGAAGGATATTGTGTTTCGTCACGTGTCCTCTCCACTCAAACTCGACTGTACTTTTCTTAGGCATGCTGCTGGGCGAGCTCCGGCCTGTAGCGTCAGACAACGCCCGCGCGCACGCGGGTGGAGAAAACAACCTCGTCACGCTACACTGGGGCACTGCAGCGTGTGAGCTCGAGCGGCAGCAATGGGAGTGCGGATGGGCCCCAACAAGGAGAGCAGCATCATGACCGGCTCCCTCCAGAAGCACCCGCCCCACCAGCAGCGCAGCACAGCCGAAACGAGAGCGACTGTGTAGTAAGCCGCCCTATCGGCAGCAGGCCTCACAAGATTCGACTGTGCTTCTCCTCCCTCCGTCCCCGCGGAGGCGGTGGGGCCTGGGCAACGGCCTTCCCCTCCTGGGAGGGCCGTTTCTGGAGTGCTCCCGTAGATGGACAAAAAAGTGGGACCCTTGACTCTGCCCATTCCCCTCCCCCCACATTCAAAGTTGTTCCCAGACATTCAAGAGCGCAGGCTCGAAAGGACAAAAAAGGGAAACACCCGGTGCCTCCACCACGCTGGAGCCCAATTTTTGAGTCGGGGGGAAGGGGGGGACGAACATGCTGTCGACGACGAGGGGGTTCCACTTTTTGTCCCCTTACCGTCCTGTCTGGTTGGACCCTTGGACGCCTCGTCGCCGCTCCTGCATTGGGGATTGATTTCTGCCCGTTATTCGAGCACACCGAGTCGCGGCGAGGCATCTTGCCTAACCTTTCAGCTTTTCGGACTGCTCCTCCCCCCTCTCGTCCCTCTCCTCTTTCATCTCTGGAGACATCGCCCTCCTCGTGTATGCGTCCCCCCTTTTGGGTGGCTGGCCTGCCCTCCCCAAGCATCCTTCCTCCTCGTCCTCCTCCGAGATCCTCCTCCAGGACCGAAGATCGAGGATATGGCCCCGTGGTCGAAGATCGAAGATCGAAGATTTGTTTTGCGCTCGCCCCTTTCTCCGGGCTCCTAGGGGCCTCTGGGGGCTTCGGAGACCACCGGGGCACCAGAGATTTTGTCGTCTCCTCCTTCGAAGTCGATCTCTCGCCCATCTCTTCCCACCGCTCTCCTCGGCGACTCGGTTCCAATGCTGCCCCAAGAGCGATGCATTATGGGAGCGAGCGGAGTTGGGTGTGGGGCGTAATGGGTCCGAGTCGGCCAAAAGAAGGCCCACCGGAGCCTGCACGGGCTCACAACATGGGAAGACCAGCGGAAGTCCTGCGGTGATCATCAGGGTTGTGGACGTGAGGGTGAGAAGTGGCGTTTGCTTGTGTGAGGCGACCTTTGGGGATCCAAAGCTGCTAGCCGCGCGCGCGCGCGCGTGTGTGTGTGTGTGTGTGTGTGTGTGTGTGTGTGTGTGTGTGTGTTTGTGCGTGTGTGTTTGTGTGCGTGTGTGTCTGTGTGTGTGTGCCAGGCTGCTGAACGGCAGGGCCGACTTCAGGGGCCCCGAGGGGGTCGGAAGCGCACGACAGGCGCAGGTGCCCTGGAGGGGGACTTTTGATCCCTCCGGGTCCGAGGAGGCCCTGGTCGATCGGTTTGGCGCGGGTGCGCCTGCGGGGCGGCCAGTTCGTGGCCGACGCCCAGCAGGATTCCTGCGCTGAGGATGCGGCCGTGGTCTCCGCCGGCGGAGTCTCGCGGGCCCGGGCTCTGCCAGGCCAGCAGGCGTGCGAGCGCGGCCCTCGGGCCGTGGCCCTGGCACGGGCACGGCGTCCTGCGCGCGGGGCCTCGGCGCAGAGCCGCCCCATGTCCAAGGGTCGTGGCGAAGAGGCGGGGGCCGCGAGGCCGTGGCGCTGGATATTGGACGCGTTGAACTTGCATAAACATGTTGTTTTGACGGTCCGCGCAGATTTCTCGGATCTGAGTTGGGCCTCCCTGGCAGCGCCTCCAGCGCCGCCGTTACAGCGCGCAGATCCAAGAACTCCGAGCGGACCGTCGAAAGCGTATGTGTTGCTGCTTCTCTTCCTCTAATCCAAGGGGTTGGTACCGCGCCGCTGTGGCGATGGGCATGTTTCACGCTGGCGAGTTGGCGTCGACACGCCACCTCCAGACCTCCTTCTGTGCGGGTCGTGGTGCTGGTCTTCGGTATGCGTTTCGGTTTGAACGGGTTCTCGCGAGTGCGAGCGGGGGTAACCACACTGATCATCTTGAGTTGGCAGCGCAGCGGAGCACTCTGCGTCGGGGCTTCCGTACTATTTCTACCAGGTCTTCCCCTCCCCACCTCGGGCCGCTCTGTGCGCTGGTGTTGGGGTTCCGAGTTTAGCGGTTGGGGGAGCTTCGGGTGCCGGGAGGGGATTATAATCTGGGGGTTGTGACAAAAAATGCCGGGTCGCGCCCCCCCTGTCCGAAGGACGAAGGACATGTGCATGATAGGGAACACATATCCATCGGGTTGGGGCCTCTAGCACTTGCAAAATCAGTCCAGACTAGCAAATCGTTCAGGTCCCGCGGAAGAAGATCGACTGGTGCCGGCAGGAAGCTGCAGGTAAGCCGGCGAACCGTTAGCTACAACGCCCTGCCTCTTCATGCACGCATGAGAAGGATGTCCGCGGGGAAGCAACCTCCAAGCGAATTGAATGTTTTTAATTCTCCTTCCTCCGCATCCCCTTTCCATTCTACCATCCACCTCTTGCACCTCCTCCTCCTCTTCATCCTAGTTTTATGCCCTCATTGTCCCCCTACCAATACATTATGTTATTCATTTGAACGTCTCTGAGGGAGCAGACACCGCCGACCCACGTTTATGAACACGTGGAGTCTTTGGGAGGCTTGGTGGAAGAAGAGGAGGGCAACTGAAATGGTCTCAGAGGTCGAGAGGGGCCCTCCAAAACACCCAAATCTGCCCAAGTGGGCCCAAAGAGGCTCCGAAAACGGCTCCAAAAGACACCCAAAGGTTTCGAAAACGGCGGACAAAACCGAAGAGGGATTCGGAGGGGTAGAAGGGAGCTACGGGAGTTAGTCTTGGGCTTTCAGACGGCCCTCCAGGGGCCCCCGGGGCGTGCCCAACCAAGACGTCTCAAGGGAGATCCACAAGGGCGGCCAGACGGGCCCAGATGGGTCCGAGAGGCCTTTAGGACGGCTGGCCGGAGAGGCGCAAAGAGAAGCCCGAGAAGGCGAACATCATAAACATTTTGTTGGTTTTGGAATGCTTTTGGCATCCTCTGGTGTTCGGCTCAACATGACTCGAAGAGGGCTTCGAATTGGTTCGAGACGGCTCCGGAGGGGGCCCTGGGGACGGGCCAAATGAGCCCAAGAGGGCAGGCTTCAAAGAGTGCCCAGGAGTTCTTCCGGAGAGACCCCGAACGGCGCCCAAAGGCGTGTTTCAGTTCAGGGCAAAATGGCGGCCAGCGGACGCCCGTTGTGCAGCCAGGGCCACGGGCCAGCGGAATGAGCAGGCGACGGGGAGGACCCTACCCTAGGAGGGGTTGCGAGAGCTCTATGGAAAGGTACCGGTAATTACGAGGAATGCGTGAATAGGCAATTGCGGGGAAACGGTCCTTGCAGACCATGCGATGGGGATCTCACACGTAGTACCTGTTGGTGCGGCGGATCGCTACGCTCATTCCGCAGGCCCGTGCAGTGTCATCGTTGCCTCGTGCCCATCTGGTCGTAGCGACTGGGAGTGTGTGCTCGTTTGCTCGTAGCGAACGGGGGATGTCTGGAAGGCACTCGATGCCTTTTCGGGGCACTCGTGGGACCAAACTGGGTCGTGAGTCAGATGCCTCTTCCGGAGGGGTGCTTGGTCTCTTCGGAGGCCTACCCAGGATTTCTTGGCGGCGTTTGTGTGCCCTTTGGGGGCCTCTTCGGGGCCTGTCATGGCAGTTTTTGTGTTTCCAGTGGCCTCTTGAAAGCTCCTTGGAGGCCTGCTGGCGGGTTGGGCGCAATTTTTCCAGGCAGGCTCGGCATGTGAGTATGGATTCCTCCTCCTCTTGGGGTCTTGGGGCCTTCTTGGGGGTCTTATCTTTGCAGCTCTCATGGCTGGTGTCTTGAGCAGTCTTGGAGTCCTCTTGGGCCGTTCTGGGAGCCTCTTGGGCTGACTTGGGGCGGTCTTGGCGGCCTCTTGGCCCGTCCTGGGCGGTCGGAAACCCGCAAAGGCGATAACGCGAAGATCTTTCAACATCCTTCCACAACCGACCCCAAATCGATGATTGTTGCTTCTTGGGGCCCTCGTCAGGTCTTCTTGGAAGCCTCTTGGGCTGTCTTCGGGGGCCTCCTGGGCCGTCTCGAGTCCACCCTGTGCCGCCCTGGAGCGCTCTTGGCCCGAGGCCGTGTGGGCCTTGCCACCCGCTTGGCGGCTCACCTTGGGGCGCACGGGGGGCCCCCAGGGCCGCGCCCAGGAGTTCCCGGCATCCGTGGCCCAGGCGTTGCCGGGGTCTGTCTGGGACGTGTCTCGTCCGGGGGCCACCCCCACAGGGGGCCGCCACGCGTGTGCGAGCTGGAAATGCTACGAATCTCCGTTCCGACGATTTCAGCACGCCTTTGCCACGTTGGGATGGAGAAGTCTACCACTACATCATGCTGTTCCCTTCCGTCCTGTCCTCCTCCTCCTCCTCCTTGTGCCCCTCCCTCCGCCCAGGGCACTGGCCTGGAGAGATTAATTCCCCACGCCGACCTGGAGCTTACCGAGCTGATGAAGAAACTCATCAAGCGCCCTGGGCGGGGCCTTGACCCACCCAGACCTCCAGCGAAAGGGACAAGTCTGAGAGTCAGGCGCATGAGTCCAAGAGCCGTGGTTTTACATGACGTGACAAGACCGCTGGCCTACGGGTGCGAGCCAGGCAGCGGCTGACATTGCGCTGTCTCGCCAGAGCTGCGGCAGGTCATCCTCGCCCCCTGCGGCATGGACAGCATGGGCAGAAACTGATTACGGCCGCCCGCGTTTTGAGAACATCAGTCTGCGGCGGGATCCGAACCCTACTCTCGCCGATCCACCATTTTGGCAACTCGATGGGCGGTGGCGGTATGGCTCGGAATTCGCAGAGCATGTGGCCAAATCCGAACTCTACCACCGCCTCCCATCATTTCAGGAGAATCGATAGTTGGGTGGGGTTAGAGTTCGGAGGGCCCGGATGGCGCGTCGCGGCCTGAGCCAGTGAACCGCCCCTCTTCCAGGATGGCTTGAGCGCGAGGCCGCGACGACGACATCGCGGTGCGAGGCGCGACGCACGAAGCCGGGCGACCCGTAGAAGACCCGCAGCGTGGAGTCCCCCGCCAGAGGCGAGGCCCAGGGCTCCGGAGCCCCACGAGTTGGTGACTTCCGTGGCGCGAGACATGTGGGCGGGTTTCCGAGGCAGTCGTCGGAGCTCCGCGCAGATTTCTTGGGATCTGTGCTTGAGGGCGGCGGCGCCTCCGGCGCCACCCCTGGCACGCTCCGCGCGCCCGGGAGCGGGGTGCAGCGTGGAACCCAGAAATCCGCGCAGGCCGTCGAATGTTTCTATCTATGCAGTCTCTTCTTCCTCTCATACGGAACCAGATCCATACAGCACGACATTGCCCATCACCTCGGCCATAGCTTGCGCAGTGACTTCATACATTCCAGGACTCCTCGGTCTTGCGCTGCGGGTCTCTGGTCCCGCTGCGAAATTTGTTGCATCCTCCCTGCCAGAGGCAATAGCGATGCATAAGGGCCGCTTCCAAGGGCGTACGTCGGCGCCTGCCTGCCTGCCTGTCTGCCCGCACTGCCTGGGGGATCGCTCTTCGGGGGCTTCGGCAGGCGGCGGGTATGCAGCAGATTCGGGCCCTGGGCGGCCGCGGAGTTTTCGCCTGTGGGCAGGGCGGCGGTCTGCGACGGCAGGCTCCGCGGCCGGGGCAGGCGGTGAGGGCGACGTCGCGGTGCGGACCAGCGTTCGCAGGAGAATCATGGTCTGAGAAGCGCGAGGATCAAGGCCACCCAGGTGGGGTCTGAGGTTCGAACAGGAAACCGCTGCACAATACACACATATATATATATATACACAAGACTGCAGTGGCGCTTCGCGCCACGCACCTTCGTCCTTGAAGTTTGGCATGCAGGCGGAAATGGCAGGAAGGTCGAGCCGACAATTTAGCGATAACTCCTTGCTGCCTTTTCTGGCATCGCCGTTATAATAATGTTGTTCGTTATCCTTCCTTCATGCTTATTTTTCCTCATTCTCGCCATACCCTGGGCATTCTCCCCATCCTCCTCAGATCTTGTTGCGGAGGCTCCTCCTTGGAGAGCCTCTGGGGGCCTCACCAAAGTTCTCAGGCTTTTTTAAAGCCTTGTGGAGGCCTCCTGGGTGTGTTCTGGGGGCCTCTGGGGCTTCCTAAGGCCAACCTGCCTCTAACCGCGGTCTCCCTGAACGCCCCAGTCACGAGTTGGAATGCTTCGGAGGGTGTCCTGGGGCCATCTTGGGCCGCCATGGTGCTCTCTTAGGGCCATTTTGGACTCCTGTTGTGCCGTTTTGGGGCTCCCTTGGACTGCCTAGAAGCCCTTTCGGATGGTTGTGAGGCGATTTGGGAGCCTCCCAGGCGGCTTCGGACGCCTAGGAGACCGCCGTCTTGGAGCGTCGGGAAGCCGAAAAGAGGATAACCCCAAGTGCACCAAAAACCTACGTAGAATCAATGATTTTTCCCTCTTGGGGCCTTCTTGGGGGTGCTCTTGGAGGCCTCTTGGTACGTTTTGGAGCGATCTTTCGGGGAATGACGGCTTCTTGGAGCGCTCTTGTGCTGTCTTGGGGGTCTCTGGGACGTCTCCGGTGACCCCCCTGATCGCCCTGGGTGTGCAAAACGCCCTGCGAGGCCCCGAGGGCCGCTTCGAGGCCCGTCCGGAGGGTCCCAAAGCTCCAGATCCCGGGGGTCCGGTTTTAGGGGGAAGGGGGGGGTCCCCCCGCCCGGGCTTATAAAAGTATAGGAAGAGGAATATATATAGACAAGACTGCGTTGGCGCTTCGCGCCACGCACCTTGGTCTTTGAAGTTTGGCATGCAGGCGGAAGTCAAGGCGGAAGGGCAGAAAGGTCCAGCATACAAAGTGACGATAAATCCTTGATGTCTTGTCCGATTCGTCATCATAGTAATGATGCCATTCGTTGTCCTTCCCTAGTGTGTCCTCTTCCCCTTCTTCGTTCTGAGGTCCACGAAGGAAAAGGTGACCGTCCCTTGGCGATGCCCGATCTTCTCCTCCTCCTCCATTTCCTCCTCCTCCTCCTCCTCCTCCTCCTCCTCCTCCTCCTCCTCCTCCCCCTCCCCCTCCCCCTCCTCCTCATCCATCCTCCATCCTCCATCCTCCATCCTCCATCCTCCTCCTCCTTCTCCTCCTTCTCCTCCTCCTCCTCCTTCTCCTCCTCCTCCATCCTCCTCGAGGCCTCACCTTAGGCGCAAGCCCCACCGCCGCCTCCTCCTCCTTCTCCTCCTCCTCCTCATCATCAGCAGCAGCAGCAGCCTCCTCCTCCTCCTCCTCCTTCTCCTCCTCCCCACGTGCCTGGAGGGAACGTCGCGAAACTGGGATCTGGACATCTTTGGTGGAAATGCTGGACGAGGGCGCCAATGCGGGGTCGTACGTCAAAGGCCTCTTCGATGTGTTTGGGTCTGTGGGGTGTGGGGAGGCGTCTCGGGGTCGTCGCGGAAACAATGTTGATGGTTTGAGAGATAATTTGGGGCCCCCTCTGGTTTAATGCGAGGGCCTTACGGCCGGTGCCGCCGACCTTGAATACGACGACGACGAGCGCTCTCTGGGGCCTCTTGGGGATAGTTTGGGGGCCTCTTGGGAAGCTCTTGGGGGCCGCTTGGAAGCCTCGTGGGGGCCTCTTGGGGCTTCCTGGGGGTCACCTGAGGGCTTCTTGGGATGGGGCTTCTAGTGAGGCTGCTTAGGGACCGCTGGAGGCCTCCAGAGAGCTTCTCTGGCCGAGAGCTCGAAATGTCAGTTCGGGTCCCCAGTCTGGGCTCCTCCTTGGAGCCGTCTTGGGGGCCTCTTCGGCTATCTTGGAAGCCTCTTGGTTGGTCTTGGGGCCCTCTTGGGTCGTTTTGGGGCTCTCTTGGAAGCCTCTTTGGCCATCTTGGGGCGGTCTTGGGGGCTTCTTGGCCTGTCTTGGAGCGTCGGGAAGCTGACAAGGCGAGAATGCTGAAATCTTTCAAACATTTACAGGAATCGATGATTTTTGCCCCTTGGGACCCTCTTGGAAGTCTTGGAGGCCTCTTGGGGCGTTTCGGAAACCTTTTGAGCCGTCTGGATGCTACTTTGGCGACTTGGACCGATACTTCGGCGATTCGGGGCCCTCGAGGACCGTCTTGGGGGGCATCTTGGGGCAGTTTTGCCGCGTCCTGCGGCCTTTCTTGGCCGCCCAACCGCCCGAGGGGGAGTCGCATCTGCCCCGGGACCCTCCCGGGAACCCTCCCCCGGGACCCCCCCCCCAGGGACACCCCCCCGGGACCTCACCCCCGGGACCCCCCCTCCCCCCCCGGTGGGGAAGGGATCAAAGGGAAGGGGCTTCCCTTCGACTCAACTACAACGTTGCTCAATTTCGCTGTGGCTGGCGCGCTCGAGGAGAAGAACCCGGTGAAAGTGGGGGGAACGGCGACGGGCCTAAGGAAAAGGGGGGAAGCGAGCGGCGAAGGCGACGACGACGACGACGACGACGACGACGACGACGACGACGACGACAACGACCACGACGACGACGACAACGACGACGACGACGACGACGAGTCAAACGGAACGGCCTCTTCCACACGTCGACAGGGTCGGCGGATTTTCGGTCTTATTGGGGACCTCGTGAACCTTGGTTGGGGCGTTTGGGCGCCTGTTGGCAGTTTCGTGGGTCCTTTAGGGCCAGAGGGCTCCCGCCTAGTGGCGGTCTGACGGTCAGTCTTGGGGCCTTCTTCGGGGATCGTGGAGACATCTTCGCCCGTCCTGGAGCGATGGGTCGAAAGTTTATGTGTGCTGTCATTTCTTTCAAAGGAGACGGGGTTGGAGGATCGAGCCGCAGCGCCGATGCATCGGCGATGCGGCTCGATGTGGAGCCCGATTTTCTCCGCGCCGGCGGCGCAGATGCATCGCCGACGTCGCCGACGCATCGCCGATGCATCGGCGATGCGGCGCGATTCTCCGACCCCATACGCTAGGACCCCACTTGGCAAGGCTCTAAAGCAGGGTCTGCATTTGGCACGGCACTGCGTGTCCCCCGAGTCTCGCGCCATTCTGGGCCTCCTGCTGGTATTCTTCTGGGGCCGCGCGCGAGAGGTGCTCTGGAAGCCGCGGGGGCCTTCCTGAGAAGCGCGGGGGCCTCCTGGGGCCAGGGGCACCCTTGGCAGCACCAGACTGCGATGGCCTGGAGCGCTCGAGGCCAGGCTGTCCGGGAAGCGTCCGCCGCTCTCTCTCTTGAGCTTCAGGCAGTGCTCTTCGGGAGGCAGGAGGATCACGGACAGGCGAGGGGAGGGGGGGGGGGAAGCTCTTGGAGGGCCGCTCCGATTACCCCGCCCCGTCCTGCCACGAGGAAGCGGGGAAAGTGGAAACGGACCTGGAGGCATCCGCAGAGGAGAGGGTGTCAGGTCGAGGTGTAGGCGGAGGCATCCGCAACAGAGGTGGAGGAGGTGGAGGAGGTGGAGGAGGTGGAGGAGGCGACGGAGCAGGTGGCGTGCGCTGCGACGCGTTCCTTGTCGGTCTGACTCAGCCGCCGTGCGGTCGCACTCCTGCTTCTGCTTGCCCCGCTTGTCCGTGGGCGTGCGCGCAAGGTACGACCCAGATGAGCGCATCTTGGCCCGGCAGGCGCTCAAGGAGATGATTGTGTTGGTCGCCCCCCGCATCACATAACTTGCGCATGCACGATTTGTGTACGGGCGTCATCTGCCGTGGTGACCGCAGGAGGGGGGGGCTCGTTTGGGTCGCCGTGTTTGGGCTCGGCTCGAAGCACTGGTCAGGATCTTCCAACCTAGAACGATGCGATTCGTGAAGGAGGGTGAGGACAGAAGGTGCAGTCGAGGTTTCACACGAAGGCGGACAGGGGCAATCATGTTTCGCAGTGTGCGGTAGGCTCGTGCCGTGCCGACGCAGTGGCGACCCCAGCGCGGCTAGAACGATGCGATTCGTGAAGGAGGGTGAGGACAGAAGGTGCAGTCGAGGTTTCACACGAAGGCGGACAGGGGCAATCATGTTTCGCAGTGTGCGGTAGGCTCGTGCCGTGCCGACGCAGCGGCGACCCCAGCGCGGGCGCTCAAGGATCTGAGTCCACCGTCATTGAATGATCCGCCTGATCGGGATGGCCGCGATCGCCCGAGGGTGGGCCGATCCGCTCGGTGTCAGAAACCAGTGCCCAAGGTGTCACGACACGGCCTTGCCGTACTTGTTTCTGCTGTCGAAGGATTGTGTGTGCCGTGCGATTGTCCTCAGACGAGCGCCTTCCTGCTCCTGCGCCTGCTCCAGGTCCTACTTCCTCCTCGCCGTCGTCATCGTCCTCCTCCCGCTCCTCATTCGGGCAGCCCCTGGGAGGCTGCATTGTTCGTCGGCTTCGGTGTTCCCCTCTGGCTGGTTTGGCATGATCGAAGGCCGAGTCTTGTTCGATCCCGACCGAAGAGCCCCCTCCCCAGTACTGCCGCGACGCCTGCCAATCGCGCCCATCCATGGAGACCCTCCAGGAGGCTGCCAGGATCCTCCATCCGCGGCAGGCGCGCGAGGCCTCGCCCCCCCGCGAGGGGGACGGGTGCCAGGTGGCTTCGCGGCCTTCTTGGGGAGGAGGCCTCTGCAGGCTTGCAAGTTTGCAAACGTCCATGTGCGCAGACGTGGGGCCGAAGTTTTGCCGAGCGATGGGCTTTAGGACTCCCCTGATCGTTGCGGGAATAATCTGGGGACCCGTCGGGAGTGGGTGGTCGGTTTCCGCCACTGTAGAGCTCCCAGTTTCCAGGATGAGTGTGCGTGAGCAGTGCTCCCAATGCTGTCAATTCCCACGCCGCCGGAGTGTTCATTGTTGTTTCGTTGACCTCCCCCCCTCTCTCGAGGACTCGTTTTTCCGCGAGCTCCGGGATGCCGAGAAGGACATTGCGCGAATGTCGTTCGGTGTGGGAGGGCTTGTTTTATGTTCCATGCTTAGCAGGTGTGGTTGGATGAAGATTCCGAGTGCTAGACAGTTGCTCAGTTGTGCATGCTTCAAGAGTTGCGCCACAGGTTTAGCGGGTAGTCTTCGCACACGATCGAGCAGCACAAGCGGGCCAGATTGAAAGATGGAGGAGGAGCGGTTGGAGCGAAAAGAGGAGTGACGCAGGGAAGCTGGTACGTTTGACGCCATATTGCGTGTTCTGTCGCGGCTATGGTTCTGTATTGTTTCTTTCGGTTATGCGTGTTCAGCATCACATGTGGGTGGCGTATGTTTCTTCGTATTGTTCTCAGTTGTGTGCTGCTACCTCCTCGCCAGGAAGTCGCTGTGGCGGCGGGTGCCTTATCTCCTTTCAGACAGCGAGAGTCCGTTGCGTTCGCCCTCTACGCAAGTTGCACGGGACCTCTCTTGCATCCCATTTACCCGACCGTGTCTTCTTTTCTGAGTTTGCCCTCTTTCGCGGTGATGCTTCGGCGTCGTTTGCAGGCTTCTTCAGGGGGGAGGGCAGCGCGAGAGCCGCGGCGACAGGGTAACTCGAATTGCAAAGGACCGAGGTTCCCGTGCACGCGAGGTCTTGCGCTCACGGGCCCCAGGATGCCCAAGGCCTGCGCACGGACTCGAGCGCGAGTGAGTTTGCTTCCGAATATGAAGCCGAGTTGAGGGCCAGCCACAGCCCGAGCCAGGGCGCGAACACGGCCGCCGCCTGTGGGGGGAGGTCGACGAGGAGGAGGAGGAGGAGGAGGAGGAGGAGGAGGAGGAGGAGGAGGAGGAGGAGGAGGAGGAGGAGGAGGAGGGAGGAGGAGGAGGAGGAGGGAGGAGGAGGAGGAGGAGGAGGAGGAGGAGGAGGAGGGGGAGGAGGAGGTCGAGGAGGAGCGAAGCCAGGCTGCCTGAGGGGACATGAGGGTGACCGCGCTGCGCGCCTCGCGGCATGGGCTCCAGAGTTGTTGCCCTCCCCCATGCATGCCGCGCGAGAGCGCAAGGGAATGACTGCGCCTCGCGAAGCGCAATCGTATGTGGCCTCGTAGTGAAAGTACTTGCAGGGGCCGGGAAGGGCGCAGGCTAGATCCGCCCGAGTCTCGATTCGCCCGGCTCGATTCGCTTGGGCTCGATTTGCCCAGCTCGATTCGCCCAGGGCTCGAATCGATGGGCTCGATTCGCTCAGGCTCAGGGGAAGAGAGTGCGACATCTTCTGTTCGCAGCTGTTTCGGCACCGGTGCCAAGCATCCCCCCCCCCTAAATGAGTTCCCCCGAGAGGCTAATTGTTTTGTTTGAGTTTGCATGCACCTTAGTCGCTAACCCCTTCTTTGCTACCTCTCAGGGGTGTATCGCAAAGGGGGCATTGGCACAGGGGGCAAGCATTGACCGCCCATTTCCCATTCATCGCCGATCTGGGCTTGCGTACCCAACCCTGCCCAGGAACAGGCGACTCGCGACTGGGTCATATCGCCGACCTGCCGGCAATGTGCCCCTGGATCCAGGACCCAATTTCCGCCCCTTCCCTTCAAGACCCCCCTCCCCAGGGTCTCTTTCTGAGCCCGCTCGGCGTCTGAGCCTGTTCGCCCGCCAGACGGTCTCAATTTCAAGAGGGCGATGGGAACGTATCCCATTCGACAGCTCCCGCGCCAGGGGCCCATCCATCTTTGCCAGCTCTTCGAGCGGCATCCAGCCGTGGCGACGAGAACCTCCAGAGACGAGACGCCGAACAGCCTCCCACGCGGCGACGACACTGTCGAGCGCGCCGCCGCACCAGATCTCTGGCGCCTCGGTCATTTCACGACGGGGCCTCCCGGTACCTCGACCCTTTCCCTGGGTCCGGTTTCTGATCCCGACTCGTTTGATGACGGCCCCAGGGCTTGGTAATTACCAGCCTGAAGCATATTCCGAGTTTCTCAATAAGCGTCGGGGGGGGCGTCACCCCCGCCGACAGCCCCACACCGACACCCGTCGCGGGTAGCCACCGCGCGCCGAAGGCGCTCCGACCCCGTCGCGGCGCGACGACGAGGCGAGGTGTTATAATTGATTCGCAAGAGGTGCAAGACAATACGCTGGAAGGCAATGCTGCCATGCAAAGTCACGCACTTCAATGCAACAGAGTAATCGTCAATGCAAAGCAAAACGATGCAGTACAATAAAAAGCTAGGCAACGCAATGCGATACAATACTCATTCACCTCCCCCTCAACCTTCTTATCTTCCCCCTTCCTGATCCTGGTCCTCCCTCCGTCTTGTCAATGCCATTATGATATTGATCCCCACCATGCCCATCAACATCATCGTCATGATCTGGAGTCCCGCCGTCACTATGTAATGATATGCAAACGGAAGGTTGCATAACATTGGCAAATCAATGCAACAGCATGGCATACAGCACAAGGCAATATCATGCACATCGTTGCAGCTCAATGCATCCATGAACTCAGAGCAACGCAATGGAAATTCCAATATTGTGCACGATGAAGATACGCAAGATGTTGCAACACAATACGAATCATTGTAAGCAATGAGCTACAAAGTAATACAGGAGAAGTCTCGAGGAGGAGAAGGGGGAGGAGGAGGCTCGAGGATGGATAGGATGAGGATCGCGGAGGAGGAGGAGGAGGAGGAGGAGGAGGAGCAGCAGGAGGAGGCTCTAGGAGGAGCAGGAGGAGGAACAGGAGGAGGAGGAGGAGGAGGCTCTAGGAGGAGGAGGAGGAGGAGGAGGAGGAGGAGGAGGCTCCAGGAGGAGGCTCGAGGAGGAGAAGGAGGAGGAGGCTCCAGGAGAAGGAAGATGAGGCTCGCGGAGGAGGCTCGAGGCGGAGGGCGAGGAGGAGGCTTGAGGCGGAAGAAGAAAAGAACAGTCGAAGAGGGGAAGAGGACTCGAAGAGGAGGAAGGGGAGGAGGAGTCTCGAGAGCGGGAGAGCGCGAGGGCAAGAGAGAGAGAGAGAGAGTGTGTGTGGGAGACGGGGAGAGCGGGAGAGCTGGACAGCGGGAGAGCTGGACAGCGGGAGAGCGGGAGAGCGGGAAAGCGGGAGAGCGGGAGAGAGGGGGAGCGGCAGAGCGGGAGAATGGGGGAGCGGGAGAGCGGGAGAACGGGACGGCGGGATTGCGGAAGAGTTGGAGATATGGAGAACGGGAGAGTTGGAGATATGGGTCAGGGGGATACAATCATCATACATATATATACACGTACACACATATACTAGCATATGTGTAGATATGTAGACAGACGTAAACACATATACATGTACACACATATACTAGCATATGTGTAGATATGTAGACAGGCGTAAGCACACACACACACAGAGCAAAAACGCATCTGTCGCAGCACGCGACGGAGCCTGGGAAGCCCTGCCGCCCGGCGAGCCCGCGCGCCGCTCGAGACCCGGCCGCAGCGATCGGCGCGCGCGGTGCCCTCTCCTGCCGCACGCCGAGGCCGCCCCACTGGAGCGCGAGGCGTCCAGGACCCGGGGGCGGGCTGCTGGCGGTCCTCACCACCCACCAAACCACCCCAACCCAACCCGAAGGCTCAGATTTGCCCTCGATTTCCAGTGGGGGGGGGTCGGGGAACGTCGAAAAAACACATGGAACCCGTACCCCCCCTAACCCGAAATTCGGGTCAAATTCGGGTCTTCGGGTTGGGTTGGGGTGGTTTGGTAGGTAGTCAGGTCCGCCGTGCGCCGACCCCTCGAGACGACACCAGCACTGCCCAGAGGAAGTCTGCCAGCCGCAGAGGTGGGGGGGAGGGCTCCTTAGAGAAGCACCCCTGGTTCGTAGAAGGCGCGGGCCTCGTCTGTGTAGATGTGGGGCCGGCGCCTCCTCAGCAGCTGTCTCGCTTCCCCCTGGCCTCCTTGTGCGCGCTGCCAGGAGAGTCCCAATACGGGCCCAGAGAAAGGCCGAGAGACGGCCACAAGTGTCCCCAACAGCACGCGCGAGGGTTGAGGTCGCGCATGGTGGGAATATTAGAGAAGGAAATGCACAAGGCTCAGGACCGATGAAAACGGTCGTATACAGCCAACCAACGTAGTAAGGATGGGCAACCTTTCTAAGGCTACCTTTGCATCTTTGTCCCTTCGGCTCATGGTAGCTTTCGCCGGCCAACCTCGTTCGAAAAAATTATACCTGGCCCTCCAAGGCTCTTTTGCATCCTTATACGGGCGGGCGCGACCCCTGGTCGACAAACGGAACGGGCTGTCGGCGTCGCTGTTGACGTGGCCTGTTCGAGACAGAAGGCCACCCGCCCAACAGCGGCCGCTGTCGGTTTGGGACAGCATTTGTGGTTTTGGTTACCGTGCCCATGGGTTCAGAGTGCGTAGATGGAGTCGGAGGATCGCGCCGCGATGCATCGCCGAGGCATTGGCGACGTTTGCGATCCATCGGCGACGTCGGCGTGAAGGAAATTGGGCTCCACATCGAGCAGCATCGCCGATGCATTGGCGATGCGGCGCGATCTTCCGACCCCATCTACTCGGACCCCATCTAGGAGCCCTCTAGAAATGTAACTCTTGCGCACGTTCCGTCTCCCGGCGCCCCTCAATTTTATGTCCGCGTGGAGCGCCGCGCGATTCGATTTGTCCGCCGTCTGCCGTGGCGGACTCAATATTGAGATCAGGGGGTTTGGGGGGGAGGGGGCAAGAGCTTGAAAAAGTAGTTGTATTATTTGTCCAGGGGGGGTCTGTGGAGAACAGAGCCCCCTCGTCGCCACGGGCCACGGCTGTACGCTTCTCAGGAGGGGCCTCAGCGGCAGGGGTCTGGGGAGAAAGTCTCAACGAATCTTGCCTCATCCCTCCTCTTGGCCGATTTTCCCTGGGCTTGTCCAGTTCAGACCCCCGGGCCGCCTCCAACTCCCTGGCAAGTCGGGCGTCGGGCGTCGAGTAATGGGGGGTGCGATGCATGGGAGGGTGAAGAGAGGTGCACCTTTTGTGCCCTGAAAGGGCCCCCTGGTGCCCAAAACACGGGCACGAAGGGTGCACGTTTCTCCCCCGCCATGTATCGCCTCCCATCGATCGACGCCCATGCCAATCCATGATCGGAGGTGAGGAGGTGACATTGCAGGGAAACGGAGAGCCCCCCACCGCGAAATCGGTTTCTATTGCGAAGGCCTTACGGCCGGTGCCGCCGACCCTGAGGTTGGGGAGGAGGGCGCGGAGCATGGGGAGGAAGATGAGGAGGGGGACAGGAGGAAGAGGTGGATGAGGAGGAGAAGGAGCACAGGGGGGGAATGAATAGGAGGAGAGTGAGGCGAGCAGGGTCGCGGGGGGGGGGGGGGCACGAAGGAAGGGCAGGGGCGAGTAGAGAGTGGCGATCATGAGGAGGAGAAGGAGGGAGATAATGGCGAGGATGTTGACGATGTTGACGACGACGTCGGAGGTGAGGAGGTGAGTTTGCAGGGAAACGGAGAGCCCCCCACCGCGCAATCGGTTTCTTATTTCGTGTTCGGATCGTGCGGTGCGTGCGGGCGAGGCGAAGCTGCGCGGGCTGGCGAGAGGAATGAACCCTCATCTGGCCAGGACGCAGCCAGGCCAAAAGACCGCCGCCCCCCTCCCCCCCTGGTTGTCTGGCGATGGCCAGGGGTGTCCCGCGGGTGTCCCGCTGGTGTCCCGTCGGTGTCTCGTGATGAGATCGGTGGTCAGGTGCAACGATAGGGGGGATAGGCATACGAGGGATGCATCGACGGTCAATCGCCCATGGATCGCTGGCAGGGGCCCGATAGCCCCAACCTGCCCAGGAAGGTGCGGATTCGTTGTCGGGGGCCTATCGCAGATCTGTCGGCGATGTCTCGCCGATTCCAGGTCGATGCATCCCCCCTATGCCAGTCCCCTCCGATCGTTGCCCCTCAGATGGTGAGACCGATAGTCAGATCGGTATTGAGATCGATAGTCAGATCGACGGCGAGATCAATGGTGAAATCGATAGTGACATTGATCGTAACATCGATAGTGGGATTGCTAGTGAGATGGATAACCAGATCGATAGCGGTATCGATAGTGACATCGTGAGTGATATCGATATTGAGATCGATAGTGAGGTCGATTGTGTGATCGATCGAATGCGATCGATTGTGAGATCGCTAGTGATGTCTATAGCGATATCGATCGAGTGAGAAAGATAGTGACATGGATAGTGAGACCGATAGTGAGATTGGAAGTGAGATCGATAGTGAATTCGATAGTGGTATTGATCGAAATATCGATCGTTGGATCGATGGTGAGATCGATAGTAAAACCGATAGTGAGATCGATAGAAATATCGATAGTGATATTGATAGCAAGATCGATTGAATCAGACGTGGGTCCTTCCCCCGTCCGATGCTCCTTATCATCCGAAGGGTGGTCGTGCAGGTACGTATATCGTGGAGGAGAAAAGTGTCCATGTCCACGCCGCCGCTCGCTATCCGGATCCTCAGCTAGCGAGGGTATTGATGCACAAGAGCAGGGGCATGGCGTCGTCGATGCATTTCGCCCTGGCGTATCCACATCCACCCTCTGGCAGTCTCGACATGCACAAGGGTATGCTAGAGCCTTTCCGAGAAACAGAACTTGGTGGGAAGATTCAGTCCTTCGCAGAGCGCGTTCCACTACTCGCAAAGTGCCTACTCGCAAACGTCCGAACAATAAGCATGTCTTCATCTACGTGATTGATCGTAAATCCCCCGCGGGGGTTCCAGGCCATCTGCGAGTAGTTACCTTGCTAGTAGTGGAACCCGCTGGGAGGGCCGCGGGCCAGATGGCTTCCGTGCGACCTCGCAGCGGTCCAAAGAGCACCACTCCCTGGGGGGGGGGGTAGGACGAGGAGAAATCCGATCCAGAGCGTTCCGGAACGCTCTCAGAGCGTCCTGGAACGCTTTGAGAAGGCCGCGGCGCCCTAGACATCCTCCAGAGCCGCCAGATCTCAGAGATTCTCGATTTCTCCTCACCCGATGTTATCCTCGTCCTGGCTTTGTCTAACACATGACCCTATGCCCACTTTCACCCAGGTGTCCTTCGGCAGGGTGGTACTCGTCTTTGTCGACAGTGACTCTCTCTAGATTCCCAGACCCCTTTCTGCTTTAGACGCCTTCTTGCTTCAAGGGTCAATCTGCTTTTGTTGTGTTCTGTTGTTCTCCGAGACGGCCTGAACCCAATCTACCTACTTCGTCCGACCAACGTGTATGGATCGGCGTCGAGCGGGGGGGGGGAGTGAGAAGGAGAAGGCCTTCTCAGAAAGCGGCGGGGTTTCTCAGAAGCCCTCTGGCCTTCGGGGAAGTTTTTTGTGTGTCTTTCGGGGAGGCTCAGAAATCTTCTCAGAAGGCCGAGGGGCTTCCAGGCCTTCTGAGAAGACCCGCCCCTCCTCACTTCCCCCCCGATGGTTGGCGCTCTCCCCCAGGAGCGGGGGCCAGGGTGGCCGCGAGCCGCGAGCCAGGGAGGCCAAGGCGCGGCTCGCCTCCCGGCGGAGGTCGTCGCCGCCGGCGCCGGCGACCGCCGTCGCTGGCGAGGACGGCACCTTCATTTCGGATATGTTCGGGCCTCTCTGGAGGTCCTGTCCTCGTGACCCAAGGGGGGGGTTCAGCTGAAAGGGATTGGTGCAATAGATTTGGGGTAACTGTATTGCAAATGGGTTGCGCCAGTGATTTGTATAGCATTGTATTGCAACAGCGTGTTGCACGCTGAAGTCCGGCAATACATTTGCGCATTGGAATGTACTGCACATCCCAGATCTGTTGCAACCCCACCACCCTATTTCGCTGGACCCCCTTTTGGGTCAACCAGATCCTCGTCACCGCGGCTGGGCACAGCTCGAAACGCTGGCCAGGATCTGCCCTGGAAGGCGTCCAGGGACAGATGTTGAGCGGTGAGCGAATTTGGTCGCTCGTCGTCGTCGCCGTCGCCGTCGTCGTCGTCGTCCTTGGCCGCCGTCGTCATCGTCGTCAGTTGTCGCCGCCACTTGTGGTCAAGGCCGCTCGCCAGAGGCTCTGGGTGGGGATTGGTGCAGGCCCCGAGGATGTGGCGCCAGGCTCATTGCCCGGCACGCCTTTGTCTAATGGCCTTCGGCCCATCCCGCCACTGCCTGGGTTGTGGGTGAGAAGCCTGAGGGATGTTCGTTGGGATCTTGTGGGAGGCCTCTCGGAGACCTCTGGTGGGCAGTCTGGAGGCCTCGTGGGGGCAGCTTGAAGACCTCTTGGGGCCTCTTGTGGGCCTCTTGGGGGCCTCTTGTGGGCCTCTTGGGGGCTCCTAGGCGCCTCTTGGGGCCTCCTTAGGGCCTCCTGGGGCGGAAGCTTCGGATTTTCGGTTCGTGTTCCCTCTCTCACGTTTGGGGCCGTCGTAGGTCCCTCTTGGGCCGTCTTCGGCGCCTCTTGGGCCGTCTTGTGGCGCTCTTAGCGAAAACCGTCTTGGGGTCCTCTAGGAGGCTTATTTGGCCGTGTTGGGCTGGTCTTGGGGGCCTATTGGGCCGTCTTGGAGCGTCGGAGAGCCGAAAAGCCAAGAAATCTCACAAACCTTCAAACACATAAGGACAATCAACAATTTTGGCCTCATCTTGGGACGTCTGGAGGCCATCTTGGACGGTCTTAGGGGCCTTTGGGGGATCTCTTGGCCCGTCTTGGGGACTTCCTGGGCCCCAGGCATTCACGCGACAAGCCGCGGGGGAGCCAAGGGGGCACGCCTGGAGCCACGGCAGATCTCGGAATTTGGGCCCCAGCCCCTCAAAGACTCGTCAGGACCGAGGACTGAAGCTCGAGGGATTAGGCAAAGGACCTCAGGACGCGCCCACTCCGCGCCCAGAGGCACGGTGGCGGATTGGACGCGGAGTTGTTAATTATGAGTTCCTTGAGTTCTTCCCATAACAAATAGCATATCGGCGACATGTCAGATGTAAGTAATTGATGTCTTCATTAGTTGCTTCACGCGTAGCATGCGCACCCTGTCTTGTATCGATCGACGTCGCGGCAGCATCCTTCGCGTGGTATTTGGTTTGCTCTGATTCCTCTCCGTTTCGAGGGTTGAACGTCTAGAGCACGGAAAGACTTGGCGTTTGGTTGTTTGCCCTGCTCGTCTGCCGCGTCGTTCTGCCCGCCCCGGGGTGCTGGAAGCTGGCAGCGCCACGGGTGGCGGATGCGCCCCCCCCCCCCCAGTTTCAGCGCCGGGACGAGCGTGCGAATGCCCACGAGGGCAATGTGCATTCACCGCGTGTCAGGACAAGGCAACGCCAAGGTCAAACTCCGATGGGCATAGCAACAGCGTGCTATTCGTATACAATATTGCGGGCCTCTTGGCGGCCTCTCAGGGGCCTCTTTGGGGGAGCCTCTTGGGGCTTCTTGGGGGCCTCTGGGGCCGTCTTGGTGCGCTCTTGTGCCGTCTGGTCCCTTCGGGGGCCGTCTTGGGGGCCTCTCGCGGCCGCCTTGTGGCTTTCTTGGGCCGTCTTGGGGCCATCTTAGATAGAGGCTGCTTGGACTGTCATGGTTCCCCGAGGGTCGAAAAAGGCGAGGACGCGACAACCCTGTAAAATTCACAGGACATTTGAGATGTTTGACCTTTGGAGGTGCTCGTGGGAGGGTCCTTGGGGCCCTCTGGGGCCGTCTCTTGGGGCTCTCTTGGGGCCGTCTTGGGGCTCTCTTGGGGGCCTTTGGGGCCGTCTTGGGTCATCTTGGAGGCCGATTGGGCCGTCGTGGGTCTCCGCAAGTCGAAAAAGGCGTGAACGCGAACATCCTTTAAAACCCAATGGAATATCAATGTGTGTTGGCCCCGCAGAAGGGAGGGAGGCATATTGGCCTGCCGATGCGACGCGACTCCAGGGGGGGTAGGGTGACTGAATACATACGAATGTAAACTAACACAATATGTGCCAATTATGCAAGGATGGGATACGTTGGATACGTTGCACTCTCGCCTCCGCAGAGCATCCCCGACGAACACGAGCAGCAGCTTGAGGCGAAAGTTTGCAGCGGAGGCTTTCAGGTATCGCGTGAAGCCACACCGTCCTGTGGTCGGGATGCTCTGGAGACCGATGCGTCCCGAGAAACTCGCGACCTGAATCCGTTTCGCGAGGCTGAGAAGGCACAGGAAGTAGATGGGTTTGGTTCGACCCAGCGTTTTTCCTTTAGAACTGTTTGCTGCTTGGCATTCGCAACGTCGCCGCGGCCAGATACGCGGCCAGAAGCGCAAGTCCGATGGCGCTGTGTCCATAGTTTCGAGCCGATCTCGTCAGTTGTGTTTCGGCGGGAAGTGAACAACTTATCGTACGGCAGGAAAGGCAGGCAAAGGAGCAATCAGAATTTGGGCGCATCTTCCCAGGCATCCGTTGTATTGCATTTTCAATCCGTGGGGTCCAGAGGTTTGCACCCCTTCACTTCAGGCACTCCTCCTTTCTGGATCCATTTCTACTTGCCCCAGGGCCAGAACCAACTCCCCCGGACGCCGAATTTCGGCGGCTCGTGCGGGGGGAAGTGAGAGGGGGCGGGCCTTCTCAGAAGGCGGCGGGGCTTCACAGGTCACAGGCGATTTGTTCTCCCCCTATCCCCGAGTTCCGCCCGAAAAGTTCGGCCGCTCAGAACAAGAGGGAACCCCTGGGATACACCCCCAGAGAGCCATTCGGACGCACCCCTATCGACGATGGACGCCCCCCCATCGTGTATTCTAGGGTTGGGCCCCGAATTGTTTGGTCCACTCGAAAACCCCACGAAGCCTGGGATTGGGGTCGACATATCTCCTGTTATCAGAAGCCCCCCAGCCTGCTGAGACGCTTTTTCGGTGTCTTCGGAGAAGGCTTGCAGCGAGCTCCCCACCAGGCCAGAGGAGGCCCGCCGAGTCTCCCGAGGAGGCCCGCTCCTTTCTGCCTTCCCCCCTGGGCTCGCCGCCATTCCTCCTCCTCCTCCTCTTTCTGAGACGTTTTCGGCGTCTCTGGAGCTCGCCGCCGAGCAATGACTGGAAAGCACCGGGGTTGAGGTACGGTCGGACCGAGGTATAAAATCGAGGTCGGTTCGGGGAAGGTGCCCTGAGGTTCTTCGTGCTTGTTTGATGTTCTTGTGCGTCGTGGGGGAGAGAACGCTCGAATGTTTGGCCGGTGGAGGGTCTCAGGTGGTCGCATGTTCGTGAGGGATGTTCCACTATCCCAGGTCCGGCGATCAGATCCCCGAGTTATCACGGCTGGGGGCAGTCAGGGGTAGCTACAGACTCGCGCCTCGGGGGCCCAAGCTGGAATTACCCCAGACCGCACTTCGCCCGGATGATTCGGGCGCCCAACCCTCCTGAATCATCGGGGCCGGGGGCAGCAAGGGGTCGCTACATATTGGCGCCTCGGGGACCCAAACCGGATTTGCCCCGGACCGCACTTATCCCGGATAATTCGGGCGTCCAAGAGGAATGAATAGAAAGCGCCAGGGTTGAGGTATCGCTTCTCGACGACCTGCTCTTATCTGCGCCGCGCACAGCAGCCCTCCCTCGTGCGGCGCCCGACGCCCGCCCCGGAGCAGAAGGCCGCCGTGAGCCGCGCGGGCAGCAGCGCGAGCGACCACGGCGAGGGCGCCCCCGAGCAGACGCACGAGCGGCCTCCCCAGCGCGCTTCCGGTCGAAAAGGGAGTGGCTGCATAGTCATTGAATTTCGGGAGGTCTGCGCAGATGTCTTGAAGGATCCGCGCCAGGCCCCTCTGGCAGTGCAGCTGGCGCCGCCCCTGGCGCGCTCCGCGCGCCAGGGAGGGGGGCCCAGCGCCAGTGCAAGAGATCCGCGCGGAGTTCCAACTGTTGATGCTTATGTAGTTGCTGGTTATTCTATTCCAGAGGAGGAGGAGGAGGAGGAGGAGGAGGAGGAGGAGGAGGAGGAGAGATAGAGAGAGGGCTGGCGGAGTGCAACACGAGACATCCTTATAATTTCTCAGTTGCGCATTCTCACCTGTCTGTTCCAATGTTGCCTGTGGCTCACTGATGTCTTCGACTCGTATCGACCGCCTGGCCGACCGACAGACCGAGAAGGAGGAGGGACGGCAAGGTTTAGGGTTGCGCACGGGCGGCCCCTTCGAGTCTCGGCTGGCCCTGAACCGGCCCCCCGAGCACTCCGAGGCGGAGCACTCCGAGGTGCCGCGCTCCCTCGGGGCGCTCGGCCCCCCGAGGTTCCTGGGGTGCCGAGAGCCTAGAGCGCCCTGGGCTGCTCGGGGCGCGCGGCAGGGCAGCTGAGCATCGTGTTCGCCGATGCCCCATCCCCATCCCCCATGCCAGCGTCCCGAGCCCCATCAGTTTGCAACCCCAGTTTGCGAGATATGCCCATCGTAATCCGAAGGGAACAGCCTACATCCCCATCTAGGGGGGTTAATCGGCCAGTGGGGCTAGGCCACGCCGTTGGGGATAGGGGTCGGATAAACGATGCTCAGCAGCGCTTGCGTTCTGAGCTGTGGGCGATACTCTGGGAAGCTGTCGACGACATCGGGATCCAGAGCATCGCATTCATCAAGGCGAAGGTGTACGCGGCGCTCGCAGAGGTGCAGGCGGAGCGCAGCACCGACCTGGCAGCGAAGGGACAGCCACTGCGCCGACGCGAGGGCGAGGCGGGGCGCAAGAAAGCGCCCGACGGACGACGTGCTGGGGGAGCGCAGCGCCCGACAGCTCCGCCTCGTCGGCAAGGTGTTCCGCTGCTTGGGGGCAGCCATGCAGGAGGGCGACGCCGAGCTCGCTGCAGATGATGGGCACGGCAGCCCAGGGCTGGAAATGGCAAGATGCGAGTGGAGCGGATGCGAGCTGAGATGGAGGAGCCTCTGCAGCTTCACTGACTGCGGCCGCAGGACGCGCAGCAGGCACGGAGGGGGACCAGACGCGGCCTCGGGCAGCATCGTGTGGGCATCCTTGCAGCATGCAGGGCGAGACTCGGCGCGGTCGGGCCCGTTGTCGGTTGGCAGCGGGCCAGGTGCGGGAGCTGCATCAGCGGCAACTGCCTTACTCACGGCGGGCGCCGCGTTGTTTTCCAGCCATGTGAGCGACGCCAAAAAACGGGGTCGTCTTCGCCGACGTCCTCGCGTATGTTGCCCGCGCAAGGTCGCGCGTAAGCGCCCTCGTCTCCAGTGTGGCGTGCCGCGCCGGCGGCCTGCGGGAGCCACCGCGCAGGGTCGCCATGCCATCTCTTACCGTAAGACCCCTTTATTATCTTGCACACTTGTGCTCTAGAGCTCGGACATCTTTATTTTCGTCGTGGTTTGTGGTTCGTGGTGGTTCGTCCCCCTCGGCCCCTCCCCTGAGCCTGAGCCCCAGCTCCCCTGGGCCACCCACCCTTCGGATGCTTGCTCCGTCCAGGCTTCCCAGGACAGCCCCCCTGGGCAGCGGAACCCTTTATTTTCGTCGTGGTTCGTGGTTCGTGGTGGTTCGTCCCCCTCGGCCCCTCCCCTGAGCCTGAGCCCCAGCTCCCCTGGGCCACCCACCCTTCGGAGGTTTGCTCCGTCCAGGCTTCCCAGGACAAACCCCCTGGGCCGCGGACATCCTTATGTTCGTCGTGGTTCGTGGTTCGTGGTGGTTCGTCCCCCTCGGCCCCTCCCTTGGGACCTTCCGTCCAGGCTTCCCAGGGCAGCCCCCCTGGGCCGCGGAATCCTTTATTGTCGTCGTGTGGCCACCCTCCTTGGGACCTCCCCTCCGTCCAGGCTTCGCAGGGCAGCCCCCCTGGGCCGCGGAACCCTTTATTTTCGTCGTGGTTCGTGGCTCGTGGTGGTTCGTCCCCCTCGGCCCCTCCCCTGAGCCTGCGCCCCAGCTCCCCTGGGCCACCCACCCTTCGGATGCTTGCTCCGTCCAGGCTTCCCAGGACAGCCCCCCCTGGGCCGCAGACATCCTTGTTTTCGTCGTGGTTCGTGGTTCGTGGTGATTCGTCCCCCTCGGCCCCTCCTCTGAGCCTGAGTCCCAGCTCCCCTGGGCCCCCCCCCCTTTGGACCCCCCCTCCGTCCAGGCTTCCCAGGGCAAGCCCCCCTGGGCCGCTGAACCCTTTATTTTCGTCGTGGCTCGTGGTTCGTGGTGGTTCGTCCCCCTCGGCCCCTCCCCTGAGCCTGAGCCCCAGCTCCCCTGGGCCACCCACCCTTCGGAGGCTTGCTCCGTCAAGGCTTCCCAGGACAAACCCCCTGGGCCGCGGACATCCTTATGTTCGTCGTGATTCGTGGTTCGTGGTGGTTCGTCCCCTCGGCCCCTCCCTTGAGACCTTCCGTCCAGGCTTCCCAGGGCAGCCCCCCTGGGCCGCGGAACCCTTGATTGTCGTCGTGTGGCCACCCCCCTTGGGACCTCCCCTCCGTCCAGGCTTCGCATGGCAGCCCCCCTGGGCCGCGGAACCCTTTATTTTCGTCGTGGTTCGTGGCTCGTGGTGGTTCGTCCCCCTCGGCCCCTCCCCTGAGCCTGCGCCCCAGCTCCCCTGGGCCACCCACCCTTCGGAGGCTTGCTCCGTCCAGGCTTCCCAGGACAGCCCCCCTGGGTCGCGGACATCCTCATTTTCGTCGTGGTTCGTGGTTCGTGGTGGTTCGTCCCCCTCGGCCCCTCCCCATTAGCCTGAGCCCCAGCTCCCCTGGGCCACCCCCCTTGGGACCCTCTCTCCGTCCAGGCTTCGCATGGCAGCCCCCCCGGGCCGCTGAACCCTTTACTTTCGTCGTGGTTCGTGGCTCGTGGTGGTTCGTCCCCCTCGGCCCCCCCCCCCCCCTGAGCCTGAGCCCCAGCTCCCCTGAGCCACTCACCCTTGGGAGCTTTCCTCCGTCCAGGCTTCCCAGTCCTTCGCAGCTCCTTTGTGCAAGAGCCAGGGCACGCGTGCCACTTGTTTCGTCGCTCAGGTGGAAGGCGACCGCTACACTAACCGCGACGAGCAGCCGTGCGATTCAGCGACGGCAGCTGGCGGATCGGGCAGCGCAGCGGGCAGTACCAGCAGCAGCGGCAGCGGCAGCCAGGGCAGCAGCGCCGCTGCCGGCAGCAAAGCGAGGGTGGACATGCGGAACACTGGAGCGCCGCCACCGCCTCGACCACCACAGATCTGCCACCGTGGTGGGCGATCGGGACGCACGGGTCGCACGAGCTGTGGAGGGCAGGGAGCCACCTGCTCTGCGTGGAGCACACGGATCGGGGACGGGGGGGCAACAGGACGGGCGGGGCTGGCGAAGGCGTGGCACGAGGCGCCGCCCGCCCACCGTCCGAAGCCGGTGCTGGCAGCGCCAGAGCGGAGCCTGCAGCCAGCTGGAGCAGGCGCGATCGGGGCCCCGAGCCGCTGCGGGAGGACGGGGAGGCGGGTGCGTGTCACGGGTGGCCCTGGCAACGAGGTGCGCGCACGGTCTGGGCAGGCCCTGGCACGACGCCTTCGCTTGTCGCACGCCGCCCTCCAGCAGGAAGGAGCTCCTCGGCGCCGCAGCAGGCGCCATGCCCGTCAGCCTGGCCTGATGGCCGTCGAACGGACTTCCCCTCTCCATCCCCGCTGCTCCGGGCCTTCCCTCGTATCGCTTAGTGTGTTGCTGGTCATTCCTTTATCGTGTAGTCTGCCACCGAGCTCGCCGGTGCCGATAAGGCACGCCATTGGATCGATCGAATGCCGAGTGCATTTTGTTGGCTCGAACCCAATTCTAGACGCTTCGCGTAACGCCACCAGCCCATCCAGAAACGATGTCCAGAGGAATTGCCTCGATCAGGGATGTGGGCAGCACACAGAGGAAGGGTCCCCCAGTGGAGGCCTCTTGGAGCGTCTTGGGGGCCTCTTGGCGGTCCCGGACGCCTCTCAGAGCGTCTTGGGTGCCTCGGAGAGCTTCTTGGGGCCTCTTGGGGGTCTCTTGGGAGCCTTTTGGAGGTATACTGGCCGCCTGTTGGGGCCTCCTGGGACCTCCTGGGCGCCTCTTGGGGCCCTCTTGAAGCGCTCTTGGGAGCCTCGGGAGCGCTCTTGGAGCCCTCTTGGGCCATCTTGGAGCCATCTTGAGGCCTCGGATGGCCATCGGAAGCGAAAAGGCGAGAAAGCCAACAACATTGATTATCCTAAGGTTTTGGAAGGATTTGGGCCTCTTCGGGGCCTCCTGGGGGAGCTCTTTGGCCACTTAGAGCTGTCTTGGAGCGGTCTTGGGGCCTCTTGGAGCATCGTGGGAGCCATCTTGGGGCATCTTGGGATATCTTGAGCCATCTTGGAGGTCATCTTGGGCTCTCCCAGGCGCTCTTGGAGTCATCTTAAGCAGTGCCGCCCCCCCCAGGAGGCCAAAATGTGGCCAAAACCTACGTAAAATCAATGATGTTGGCATTCTCGCCGAGGCCTCTGAGAGCGTCTTGGGTGCCTCGGGGAGGCCTCTTGGGGCCTCTTGGGGGTCTCTTGGGAGCCTCTAGGAGGCATCCTGGGTGCCTCTTGGGAGCCTCTTGGGGCCTCCTGACCACCTCTTGGGACCCTCTTGGGGTACCCTTGGGAGCCTTGGGAGCGCTCGTGTGGCCATCTTGGAGGAGATCGATCAAAGAAGGGGGAGTTTAAATTAGCCTCCCCCCCCTAAAGGCCAAAATGGGGCCAAAACCATAGTAAACCAATGGTTTTGGCTTCCTCGACGAGGCAGTTTTGGACGCTCCGACCGCTCGCGAAACGCCCCGTCCAGGTCCAGGGGAGGGGGTAGGGGGAAGGGGTCAAGACTCCCTCCCCGCCCGCAAGCCGTCTCGCTCACTCCCACCCGCCCTCCCAACACATACGTAGCACCCGAGCCTGGCCCGAGCCGCAGCATATGCAGCAGTCGTCTTTGGATGGGCAGCTACTGGGGGCGAATCCGCCGCCGCCGCCGCCGCCTCCGCGCCGCCGCCGCCGCCCGCCGCCGCCGCCGCGCCGCCGCCGCCGCCGCCGCCGCCGCCGCCGCGCCGCCGTCCGCCACCGCCCGCCGCCGCCGCCGCCGCGCCGCCCGCCGCCGCCGCCGCCGCCGTCGCCCCCGCTGCCGAATCGCCGCCGCCGCCGCCGCCGCCGCGCCGCGCCGCCGCCGCCGCCGCCGCCGTCGCCCCCGCTGCCGAATCGCCGCCGCCGCAGCCGCCGCCGCCGCACCGCCGCCGCCGTCGCCCCCGCTGCCGAATCGCCGCCGCCGCAGCCGCTGTCGCCGCAGCCGCTGCCGCCACAGTTGCCGCCGCCGCCGCCGCCGCCGCCGCCACCGCCGCAGCTGTCGCAGCCGCTGCCCCCGTCGCAGCCGCCGGAGCCGCCGCCGCCGCCAAGTGTATTCTGTATTGTTTTTCGACAGGGATAGTGGGGGGGGGGGCCGCGCCGGGTTCGCTGCGCATGCTCCGAATTAGGAGGCAGAGTGTGTCTTGTATTTTTTTTAGAAGGGGTGGTGGGGAGGGGCCCGCATTGACCCTGGTTGGCTCCCAGTCGCTTGGGGGAGGGGGTGAATATTAATAGGGAACAGTGATAAACGCCTCCCCGAAGGGGAAGGAGGGGGTGGAAGAGGCAACACCTTGAACCACCTACGCCCTAAAGGGCTGGTGGGATTCGGCGGCAACTGCCAATGCACGTGAGCATTCCAGAGTGTAGCGCATGTGGCCATGGCATATGCTCTGGCCTCCCAGATGGGTCCTCAACGCATCGGCGATGCGGCTCGTAGATCCCGACTTTCTCCACGCCGACCGCGCCGACGCAACGCCGACGTCGCCGATGCATCGATGCATCGACGATGCACCTGCGATGCGGCGCGATCCTCCGATCTCATTTAGCCCGACCCCATTCAGGAAGTCTCTGATATGGTTTATGTTGATGGTAATGGCGACGCCAGTACTTATGCCCCTGCCCAAAAAGACGAGGCGCGACGTAGCGGGAGGAGGCCGAGGAGACGTTGGAGGCAGAGGTGACCAGTGTTCTTGCCAGTACTCAAGCCGAGGTTATTGAATCGCTTCGCTCATTCCGCCGGCCCGTGATATGGCATCGCTGGTTTTTGTCTGTGTGTTCGTTGCCCATGTTGCGCTCTTGGGGGCGGGTGTCGTTCGGACGCGTTGCGTGGGGAGTTTTGATGGTGAAGCAGTTCCCTGGGGGTCGTCTCTCGATGGGGCGAAATAGAGTCGTCGTCAAGATGCTTCTTTGGGGGGCCTCTTGGGGTCTGTTGAGAGGCCGTTCGGGGGCGCCTGGGAGACATGTTTGAAGCCTTCTGGGGCTTCTTTTGGGCCTCCTGGGAGTCTCCTGGGGCCTCTTGGCGACATCTTGGGGCCTCTTGGAGGCCTCTTGGGGCCTCTTTGGGACCTCCTGGGCGCCTTCTGGGACGGAGGGCTCCATTTTTGAGTTCTCGGTATCCCTCCTGAGTCCCTCTTGGGCCCGTCTTGGGGCCTCTTGGTCCGTCTTGGGCGGCACTTGGGCCGTCTTGAGGGCTCTCTTGGGTCGTTTCGGCGCCGTCTTGGGAGCTTCGTGGGCCGTCTTGGAGCGGTCTTGGGGGCCTCTTGGGCCGTCTTGGAGCGTCCGGAAGCCGAAAAAGCCAGAACACAAAAAACATCGAAAAAACCAATGAAAATCAACGATTTTGGCCTCTTGGGGCTCTCTTCGGAGGCCTCTTGGAAGGCTCTTGGGGCGTCTTGGAGGCCTCTTGGGCTGTCTTGGGGGCCTTTTGGGCCGTCTTGGGGTCATCTTCGGCGTCTTCGAGCGCTCTTTGGGCGTCTCGGGGGCCTCTTGGGCAGTCTTGGGGGCCTCTTGGGGCACTCTGAGCGCGCTCTGGGGAGCCTGAGAGGCCGCACCCAGAAGGAAAACCATCTCTGAGTAGACTTGGTCGGGCGGCGGTCGGGGTACTTTTCGCCGGGGGACCCCCAGGGGCCGCCCCGCGCGCGCGAACTAGAAATACTGTTAATACTGTTAACCAGTTACCGGAGATCTTAGCACGCCCTGGCCCGTTGGGCCGGCGAATTAGAGGCGATCGTGCCTTGCTGCGTAACGTCTCCGGTCCCCGGGCCTCTTTCCTCTGAGCAGCCACCCGCCCCCGTTCGGCCCATTTCTCCCCTCATTCTTTCGCGTTCGCATTTCCTTTTCCCATAACGTTTCGTCCTCGCTCGTATTGATCATCATCGTCCCTCCGACTCGTCCTTGTGCCGCCTCCCACGTCGACATCTCTCCTCCCTCCTCTTTCCCGTTCCCTCTTCACCCTCGTTTTCGGGCTCCCTTTTTCCGTTTCTATGCTCCCTCTTAATGGTTCAATGTGTTTCATTTTCATCGTTATTTATCTCATGTGTGTCCCATTACAGATTCGTCATTCATAGTTGTGTCCTACCCGTTGTCCTTTTCCTTCGTTGTGACTGAAGCATAGTATGCCTCCCTCCTCTTCTATTTCGTTTCCTCCCTCTTCTTAGTCTTTGTCCTCCCCCTCGTCATCCATCCTCCTGGCTGAGTCCAGGGATCATTACTCTCACGCCTGCTTTTACATCTGCCTCTTCCCCATGTCCTACTCATCCTTCCCCTCATCGTTCCTCCTCTCCTTCCATCCCTCCCTCTCTTTTCTCTTGCCACTCGCCCTCCAGAAGCTTCCAGCGACTTCCAGAGGTCTCCGGAGGTCCCCCGAAGCCGCCAGAGGCGTCCATACATCTCCCCTAAACTATCAAACTGGCCGGTAACGTTATCTCTGATCCTGCTTCGTCTGGCAATGCCCCGTGCATCGAACAGCGTATTTCCGAAACCTGGCATGTGCTACGCACGTCTGTCGTGTACCGCGCGGGCTTTCAGCTGCCCGCAGAGGCATCCGAAGGTCCAAGACAGGCCAAGAACGTCCGAGTATTTCCAGAGGTCAACAGGATCCCCCCCCCAACGCCGATTAGCGAGTTCCCCTTTTTCGGTTCTCGAGATGATGTTGATGCGGCAATGATTGTGGGCCTGCGCACGTCGGGTTTGGTCTCGGATCTATTCACCAAAGGCCGGTTTGCTAAAGCGAGTTATGCACCTCCGATGGTTTGACCTTTGATCGGAGAAAGTTACGATTCGAGTGCGCCAGAACTCGGGTTTTACCGACGCTGTTTGACGAACACGTCCTGGATTTTGACAGTCCAGTTTTGGTAGAAGTGTCTGCAGCGGGAGTTCGTGTCAAATTTCAGGTTGGGTCGCGTCATTTTCATGATGGCCCCGTCAGGCCAATCCGAGTCGCCCGAACCTGAGCCCGACTCGAGTTTCATCCTCGCGACCCCCCTCTGCCCCCCCCCCGCCCTCGAGATTGTGTTTTCTCCGGTGAACTTGCAACGTCCTCTGCGGGAGGTCGTTCCTGAGGGCCAGTGCTCCATCCTACACCGGCTCCCGACGGCCGCGCGGCCCGAAATGGCGACGGCAACGGCGCCATCGCTCGGAGTCGGCTGGGACTCTGAGGTGGCCCAGCACTGGTTCGAGAGTGTTTTCACTTCCCTCTGGGCCATAACGCGCGTTGTGCCACCTCTCCACCCTTCCCCCCCTCCTCTCCCTATAACGTAACGCTACCTCCACTCAGTGCGTCACTGGCACCGCCGCAGTGCGTCCAGCACCACAGGTTTGGGTGGGCGCTACGTTATGCCCCCCTCCCGTCACCCCCCCGTAACGCCCGTTGAGGCCGCGAATAAAAAAATGTGTTCTTCCTGCGAGCAGGACGGGCTTTCGATCGGACAGGCCTAGAATCGAGATAAATCCGTTCCAGATTTTCCCGAAACGCTGTCGGAGCGTCGCGGAACGCTCTGAAACGGCTGCGGAGCCCAGCACATCTTCCAATCCCGCCGATGTTCGGAGATGTCCTGTTTATATCGATCCATGTTTGTCTTGTTTTCGTCTTATTCGAGGTTCTTGGTTCGAGAAGTGTTTGGCCTTTATTCGGCCTCCGGGGTCCGCTTTCGCGCCCAGGGACCGTCAGAAACGTATTCGGGGTGGAAAGTCGCACCAGATGGGCCACGGGAGGGACCTGAGGACAGACTTAAATCTGGCCGAATTTGCCTTGATTCTTTCTTCTTGGCATATTTTCTTGGGGCCCACCCAGTTCAGACCCCTTCAGCCACGCGCAGAGGGGGGTGGGGGGAGGAGGCTGCTGATTAGAAGGCGCGGGCCTGATCTATAAGCGTAAAGGCGGCGCCGTCTAAGAGCCAGTCTCCTTCCAAGGAGCCTTCCTCCCTCCCCCATACCCCCGTCTGCGCGCCGCCAGCCCCCGGCCGCCTCCGAGCCGTCGCTTTCGCCGTCACTATCGCCGCCGCCCTCGGCCCCTGCGCCTGACGCCGCTGGCGCTGGCGCGGGGGCGCTTCAAACGCCCCGCCCGGGCGAGACCGAGGCGCAGCGACGGCGCCGACGCAGGCGCGGGCGGGGGCGGGCCAGTGGGGCGTGGAGGGTCGCTGCGGAGGAAGGCTCGCCGTGTCAGGTGCTGCCGGGAGTGCCCCTGGGGCCAAGGTGCCCCCAGGATCTCCAGGCATCGAGGAAGGAAGAGCGGCATGACAACCAAGAGCCACAACCACAGCTAGAGGGAGTTTTCGGGGGGCCCCTCGTGGAGGAACCCACCGATCTCGACATGAAAACTTTTGTTTTGGTTGTGGCCGATTTGGCCGCCCTGGGGTGCCACATCGACCACAGCCAGCACTAAGCTGGCTCCAGTGTTCTGACGATAGCTGGATTGCGCAGACACATCTCTCAGGGTGTGTCCTCGATGTGGTTGTGGTCGCTTGCTATCCCGTCGTCGACGGCATCGGCGTCGGCAGCGGTGGCGGCGGCGGCGTCGTCGGAGGGGTGATCTTTTGAGCGTTTTGCCTTTCGAGAGGCCTCCGCGGATCCCTACAGAGTTCGAGTAGGGGATGGACTGCAGAATTGATTTCCCCCTAATTGTTTGTTTGGCCGAATCTACAAAGTATACTAGAATGCTCGGCGAATCTACAAGTGTTCGACGTATTTTTCGCACGTGAATCAATTATGTAGTGGATCCCCGACTCGAAGGATCTTCCCTGGGTCCCGGCTTTCACCGTGTGTGGTGTGTGTTAATGTGTGTGTGTGTGTGTGTTTGTGTTTGTGTTTGTGTTTGTGTATGTGGCTGTGTGTGCTCGTGTGTGTTAAACGCCAGAATGTAATCAACTATTCAGCTTGTTTCGGGTCCCGATATCAGCCCGGCTGAAAAAATCCGGCTCGGAGTGGACAATCGGCCCGGTTGGAGGGCCCAGCTGAGCACACGATGTTGGAGGTCCATGCCAGCGGCCCTCGCGTCCGACGATCGGGGATCGAGGTCCTTGGACACTTTGGTGCCTTTCCTAGGCCTCCGCGGGGCTGGGCACCCGGCCACGGCCAGATTCCCGTCGAACGCATTGTCAGAATGCACCCTGGGAGGCCCAGAGCTCCGAGGCTTCGAAAACTTTGGAGCGTCAGGCTTTTTCGGCCCCCAAGGCCCCTCGCCAGGCCCCGGGACCGTCAAAAAACGACACGTGATGAGACGAAGACCCTAGATGGTGAAGTTGTCCAGCCCTCCAGAGGCCCAAACCAAAAGAGTGGAGCGGTCGCATGTCGGCTCGGCCGCGGCCGATTCCCGTCGAGACCATGGCCAGAACGCACATTGGGGGAGAGGTGTGGGGGTCGGTTTCGAGGGAGGAGGGAGAGAACTTCAGTGTTGCGCAGATGCGGTGGCTGTCCTTCTACCTTCTCCTCCCTCGCCTCTCCCTGTCACTACTGCACCGTCGAATAGTTGTTCAGGCCACGGTGCATGGCATGAGCTTGCCAATGGCAGTCGGCTTTTGCGGCGTTCCCGGTTTGCCCAGAGACCTTCAATTCGCGATGTTGTGGCACTCGTGGGCCTTGTGCGGAGGGAAAGAGTGCAGATTGGCTTGGCACCCACGGGTTTGGTGGCGCGGATTGGTTTGGCACCCGTGGGTGCCGTGCGGTTGTTGTGGCACCCGTGGGCTGGGTTGCGCAGATGCGAGGCCCGCGGGGCCCATAACCACCGCCTGGGGGATCGATCTTCGAGGACCTCCACAGGCGGTGGATATGGATAGCTATTCGGGCCCCCCCTGGGATATAGCTATTCTGGCCCCTGGGGGCCCAAATATGTCCACATCCACCGCCCGCTGGGGCACCAGGACGTCGGTTCCCAGTTGGTGTACATGGATACAGTCGGGGCCCTGAAGAAGGAACCCTTTTCGTTGGGGAGGGGCTCCGCGTTCCTGAAGTGCTTCGCAGCTTGCCTCAGGCTTCCCTTCTGTCTTCGACAGGAGATCGAAGGTTAACCTATGGAAAAAAAGGGCCCTCGTTCCTGATTCGGGGTTCCTTTTAGGTCCACGCCCCCATACACCTTAGGCGATGCTTAAGAAAACTTAAGTTTTTGGCCAGAGTCTCGATCATTCTTGACGTTTCAATGCAGATCTTAAGATGTTGATGGAAATGCTGGGTTTTTTTATTCCAGTTCTGAGACTATGAATTTCTTAACCCATGAGTTCTTAAGCATCTCGCAGGGCGTACTGCAGACCCCCGCCTCGCACAGCCCTCCATGGCGCCAGGCCCGCCCCGCGGGCCCGTGGAGCCTCCTCCCCGCCCCGTGCGCCGTGCTCGGGGCACGGTCAGGAGGGAAAGAAACACACAGACACAATGAATCGTCGACTCCCAGGAAGATATGCAAAACTATGGGAAGTGGTGGGGAAGACAAACACCCAGAAAACATATGGGAACATATGGGGGAAATTTTTATTTGTGTGTATGTATTTGTGTGTGTTCCAGTTCCCCTTCACATGGGCCTCCGCCGCCCGCGGCCTCCCGGCCCGCCCCCTCTGCCGCCCCCCTCCTCCTCGGCCCGCGCTGCCCGCGAGTTTCGCTCGCCGCGGCGGCCCCGTGCGAGAGCGGGGCGAGCCACAGGGGGGGCCCTCTCTGCCCTCGAGGGTCGGAGGAGGTGCCGTCTGTTCCGCTCGGGGGTGGGCAGAGCCCCCCAGCAGTGGCACGTCGAGGAGCGTGGGTTGTCCGTTTTCGCTCCTCGAGAGGGCGCCGTGGCCGTTCTTTTCCAGGCTTGCGCCCGCCAGGCTTGGGCCTCAGGTCGTTTTCACTGAACCACGTTTTGCTAAAGGGGGGTCTGTCCATCCCCGATCCTCGGCGGAAGGCGGCCGAAGTAAAACGAGGGCGGCTCCGCCGGCGGAAGCCGGCGAAAGCTATAGCGGAAGCCGGCGAAAGCAAAAGTCTATTTCCTTCCCCAGAGATGACACCATTTGGGGGTTCAGGGTTTCCGAAACCCTTCAGGTCGGTGCCAGAAAAACGCCCATTATAGTTACGATGTTGTGTTTGTCCGCCACTCGGTGGCAAATAGCGGCCCAGACACCATGCATGTATTTGTGTCGGCGTCGACACTGTGCATACATTTGTTTCGACACCTGTCGCCTGGAGAACCGGGTAAGAAATTCTACATTATACGTTGTCCTGTGTCGTTTCTGCAAAGTTCCATGGTAATTGCATTGCCCAGCTACCTTAGTGTATGCATGCGCGGTCCCACTCCTGTACAACGGCGACGGGTCGGGTCCAAAGCCGACCTCCAACAAGAATGTGTCCCCGAAGAAGTTGGGCGGGGCCTTTGAAGGTCCGCTGCGGGCCCCAGGGCCAGGAAGCTACCCAAGGCGAGCCCCTGGAGCCCGCGTCGGGAAAGAGCTTGACTTCAGAGGTATGACAGGGAGGTGGGGGGGGTCAGAGGAGGAAAAGGTAACCATACTTTTCATTACCCTTCCCCCTTCCCTCGTTTTCGCCTTGCTAGGCCTGCTATGTGGCCCTCGTCGCCACCGCTAGATTCGCCCCGAAAGGCTGGTCAGAACGTACCCCAGGAGAGGTCCGGGGAGTTGCGGTATCGGTAACCCTATGCCTCCGATCTGAATCCCCCGGGGATAATAAAGTTCAGGGTTCCGGGGAATCATAAATTATGGTATAGCGATACCTTGCTCGCTCAGGCGGGGCTCCTTGGAGGGGTGGGAGGAGCGCGAAACCTGTGAACTTGTATGATATAACAATACAGCGTTGGTGACGGTACGGATCAGAATGCCACACCCATGATTCCAAGATGCCAGCCACGATTGGTATTTGGCCGGGTGATAATCAATTTCGGTTTTGCCGCCCCCGCCCGCACAACAAAATCGAGTTGCCCGGGGAAAATCATGATACATTAGGTTAAGAAGGGGGTATCTTTTATTATTCACGCTTCGCGTCTCCCAAACAGTCCATTCAGAGACCCTGACCTTGAGAGCGGACGGGAAAAGTGACGAAGAGATACATCTAGTGAAACAACGCGAGCAACCAGGGTGAACTGGGAGCAAGGGGGTGGCCTTGGAAAGCCTATTTGGGCTATCCCCGGGGGCTGCGTGGGGGCGAGGGGAGGAGGAGGAAGACGACGACGACGACGACCACGGAGATTAAGAAGATGAGGAACAGGAACAGGAGGACGATGAGGGCAAGGACGAAGACGAGGACGAGGAGGAGGAGGAGGAGGTGGACAATGGCGACGAGGACCCATGGAGCCATCTTATGTGGATCTTGATTAGGACGAGGAGCGTGGGTACCTCCATGGGGTAGCCCTAGGCGTGGGGCGCTCTTGGGCCCCTCTTAGGGGCGATCTTGGCCAGTCGTGGGGCAGTCTGGGAAGCATCTTGGGCCCCTCTTGGAGCTCTTTTGCGTCATCTTGGGGCTCGGTGCCCTCTTAGGGCTCTTTTGAGGGGTCTTGGAGTTGTCTTGGAGCTCTTTTGGGGGGTCGCGGGGCGCTCTTGGGGCCCTCTTGGGGCCCTCTTGGAGCTCTCTTGGAGCTCTCCTGGGGGCCTCTTGGGAGCCCTGGAAGGCCTCTTGGGGCTGTTGTGGAGGGTGTCGGTGAAACGAGAGGGTACTACTTCTGTGTCATCAAAATAGGATCTGGGGACGCTCTTGGCTCCCTCTTGGGGCGCTCTTGGGCGGTCTTGGGGCCGTCTTGGGGGCCATCTTGGGACCACCTTGACGCCTCAAACACCCATCGGAAGCGAAAAGGCGAGACGCCCAAAATCATTGATTGTCCCTCGTTTTTGTTCAGGATTTTCGCTTCGCGGGGAGGTCCTGAGGGATCTTTCAGGGCACGTGGAACGGTCTTGTGACCCAATGGCGGTGTCTTGGAGGCATGGCGGAGGTCATCTTGAGCGATCTTGCGCTATCTGGAGCACTCTCGGCGGCCATCTTGGAGCCATCGTGAGCGAAAAAGTGCCCTCTGAGGACTCGCGACCCCCCCGTCCAGACCCCTGGGAGGGGATGGAGAGGGTACCCCTCTCCGAAGGGAAGAGGGGTTTGGGAAGAGGAACAAAAATGGACATCTTTGGTCCACCTACGCCAAGATGGCTGGTGAGATTATCCGGGGGATGCGGTTACGCTTGGGTTTCCCCATTGGCTTCGGAGGTTTGGCGGGGGTTGGGGGTGGAGAGGGCGGACTCGGGGGGGAGAGTGGAGAGAGCCTGTCCTGCGTTTGCGGGCAAAGGCGACTGCGGAGTGTTCTTGCCGCCCACCAATGATGAGGGGGGCTCCTTGAGGAGGAGCCTCCTTTGCCCCCCTCCTTCTCCGTCTCCCCGCCCACCACCTGGAGCAGGAGAGGTGAGGAGGAGGAAGGGAACGGAGAGGTTAGCTTGTCTTTCTGTGTCCTCCTCTTCCCCGTGCTCCTCCTCCTCCTGCCCCGCTGTCCCTACATATGTACATGCATATACATACGTTGGAACATCACTGCTATCTTGGCTATTCCATACGCGCTGGTATACGGAGGGCGTGGCTCACCACGCCATCATTTGCCAAGGATCTGATTGAATGGCACACCATCATTTTGACATTCTGGAAGGTGAGATCACGAGGAAAGGGCCGAGTACGGCGCGCGTGAGGGCAGTGGAATATGCTAGCCCTGAGTGGCTGAGTGGACAACAGACACAACGCGAATGGGATGAGAGACGGGCACATAATACGGCAGACAGCACAAGGTTATGATTGAATATATTAGCGTATACATCCATACGACGAACATTTGAGCAAGCATTTACAGGGCAAACTAGCCTGGATCCCCCAGCTTTAAGGCGCGTCATCATCATCATCATCATCATCATCATCATCATCATCATCATCATCAACATCAACATCAACATTAGCATCAGCATCAGCATCATCATCATCAACATCAACATCAACATCATCATCAGCATCAGCATCATCATCATTCTCATCATCATCAGCAGCATCATCATCAGCAGCAGCATCATCGTCAGCAGCATCATAATCAGCATCAGCATCAGTATCAGGATCATCATAATCGATCCCCTTGTCCCCCTCCACCTCGAAACTCGTCCTCGTCGTCCTCGCTCTCGCCCCTCTCTGATCCCGCCAGGTCTCGAGGAGCGCCACCTGCCATCCATCAAGCCAGAGAGACGGAAGGAACGCTGGCCGGGGAGGGAGTGTGTGTGTGTGTGTGTATGGGTGTGTGTGTGCGTGTGTGTGTGTGTGTGTGTGTGTGTGTGTGAGTTTGTTTATGTGCCTAATTTCCACCCCTCTGCCGCGAGGTCTACGCCCCAGGCAGGTGAAGGAGGGAGGGAGGTTCGAGGAGCATGGGCTCGAAGATCGAGGCTCGAGGTTTTGGGACGCCAGGCGTCTTCAAGAGGCCAGCGCAGACCTCTGGAGGAGGAGGAGGAGGAGAAGGGGAAGGCGGAACGAGGAGGAGAATGCAGAGGGACACTATTTTGATATTATGAAGGTTGGGAGGTGTCTTCGGACGTTTTCGGCGGTTCTCGGGAGGAGAGAGGGAGGGATAGTAGAGAAAAAGGATGAGGAGCAGGAGGAAGAGACAGGGACGTGCTCGTGTTTGAAAGACCCACCCAAGAGTTTGGCCCCGCTTATACGGACCCTCCCGAAAAGCAGGCGCGTTCAATCACCGCGCCCGTTAGATTCAACGCTGTGAGTTTCAATTTTATCTCGCTCAAGGACCTTTTTGCGGACAAGGATTGTTTCCGCGGAAGCCAAGGATGCCTAAAGCGGCCGTTGAAGAAGGCGACCTATGCCAGCACTCAGTTCAGGGACCAGCAGTGGCTCTTCGTTGGCGTCTGGTGTCCAGGAGGCCCGCATTCCCGAGAAGAAGGGGGTTGCCGAGGAAAATATGGTATTGTCGTCGAGTGCGGAGACAGGCTCCTTCGGGTACGAAATCTACATCAAATTTGGCCTGCCCTATTGTGCTATCCGTGGGGCTGGGCAGTTCATCGAGCCCGTAGGCGATCGAGTCCTGCATTCGGGCCCTCGCAGATTGCTGGTATCGGTGCGCGTTGCGCCGATGTGCATCATCGCTTCGCAGAGAGGCGAGCTTGCTGGGGTCAGACGGATGCTATCTTCGCCGAATGGAGGCCTGCCATCATATTCTGCGGCGCCAGTATTTCCGCCGGTAAAGGCGAGGCCACCGAATGTGTCGCCAGTAGTAGCATTGCGCAGAAGGAAAAGTCCAACGGCTCGCATGTGTGCGGGATCCTGCATGTCGGGTGGTACGTTTGGTGCACTCTTAAGTCGGGTAAGCATCGCGTTGGTCATGTCACTGCCAGCCGTCGAAGAGACCAACAAGGGTCAACATGTGTGTGTGTTTGTTGGGTAGGGCTTCGATATCCTTCAGCGGGGTGTGGACGATCACCCCGCATATGCAGAGTTTGAGCCAGCTGTTGTTAGGAGTGTCAAGGGCTCGCGGCAGACCAAGTCCGACAACGCCAGCCGAAGGCCCCAGATGAGTTTGCGCAGGCCCTTCAGAGTGCCCTCGCGGTTTCCTGGAAGGTCGGGGACTGTACAGTGGGCACACTAGTGAGCTGTTCAACGAGGCTGCCGCGAGCGCCTCCTGATCAGATTCCTTCGGTCTCGGGCCAAAAGGGGCACCTGGGGGTAGATCATGGGCAGTAGGCTGGGCGCCAAGGACGTCGGAGGCCTCGGGGAAGGCGCGCACGGGTTCCGCAGGATGTCTTCAGATTCGCTCCAGTTTGTTGGTTCGGGGCTGCCGCGGGGCAGTTGCAACGGGCCTTGGCCAGCCGCGCAGCTGGGCGCGCGGCGCGAGTGCGTCGCCCCTGCCCGAGCGGCGGGCGACCAGGAGAAAGGGCGCCGAAAGGGCTTGACTTGGGCCGCGAGCTGGTTTCGGGGGTGCACGAAGCGCCCGCGCCAGCAGAAACTCGTCGCGCATCGGGCGGCGAGGGTCGAAGAGCGGGCGTGCTCGGTAGCTGGGCTCAGGGGATGGGAATACGGCAGCGCGGGCGCCGCCTTGCCACCTACCTCTGGCAGTGGTGCCGACGAGGCCCTGCAGTCCCAGAGCGAAAGGGGCGGCGAGTTGTTGCACCACGCCCCTAGCGTCGAAGCCGCCGAGACTGTTGGCGACGGACAGGGCCCTCATTGCCATGCCCTAAGACCGCTGCTGCCATGGGGGGGCGACTTCCGAGGTGGCGTTCGCCCCCGCCCCTGCCGCCGCGGTTCGCCGCCGCGGTTCATTGTCTGGGCGGCATGGCATCGGTGTTTCAGCCATCCACGAGGGCGCCGCCGCGAGGCGCCCCCGCCCCCTGCAGGCCGAGGTGGTTCTCATAGGTTCAGGGCCACGCGTTGGAGATGGGCCCCCGCCTGTGCGCAGCACAGTTCACAGGGGCAATAGGAAGTTCGGGCCCGCTAAAAAAGGGCATTGTTCGATCGCCCTGCCAAGCTCCACTATTGCTTTCCAGTGGGCGCATGGGGCTCATCATCGATGCCCTCGGCATCCCCGTGAAAAGCTTATAGCGAAAATTGCACGGGGATGGAAGCCGAAAAGATGTTGGGTCAGACCAGGCGGGGCCCGTCGCATCAAGTGGCATCCGCCTGTTAATGTCACCGAAAAACGTCCTCGCCCGCGCTGCGCGCTGCACGTTGGCCACCTGGCCGGCGGGGGCGAAACCGCAAGGCAGAACGCGGAACCGCCCGCGCCGGCGGCCTTGCGAAGGATCAACTTGGAAGAGCACCCGGGCATTCAGCGGCGACCGCCCCCCGACGTTGCCACTGGGCGCGCGAGCCAAAGCGCGGCAGATCAATGGCTCGGCCCATGGCCCATGGTGCGCGCCCGCGCGGGCTGCCAACATTGACAGGCGAACGTCACTTAATGATCCACTATGGGCGTTGCCGTCTGCAGATCACTCACGATGGGCGTCTTGTTGATATTGTTATAACTTGTTTCCCGGCTGCGTGGAAGTCGAGCCTGTTGGGGCGTGCTCCAATTTTTCTGGCGGCCATTGGTTGCCTTATAGCGTCGGCAACCGCTGCTGCTCGGGCGGATGGCATGGGGGGCGCGCGGCCCCCGATCAGCAAAATCGCACCCGGACGGCTGCCACGGTCAGTCGCGCCGCCCCTGGGAGGCCAGGGGGGGGCGCGAGGGAAAAAATAGCGCGAAGATGCGAAGGGGGGGGGAACGATGAGGGGGGAGGAGCAGGAGGATTAGAAGGAACAGGCGAGCGAGGATGCTGACGGCGCTTCGGCGGAGGAGCGAGAGCTAACCAGTGGCCAGCGATGTGGTGAGAACGCGCGTCGTCCTCGTCGCGGTCGCCGCGGTCGCCGTCGTCGTCGTCGTCGTCGTCGCCGTCGTCGCCCGCCGTTCTTGGCAATGACGGCTGCGTTCTGGGCCTTGGCCCAGGACCTGCCCGTCGCTGTCGGACGCAACTTTCTATAGGGCGGGGGCGGGCCCACTGTGAAAATCCGCCCGCGGTAGCAAATTTTCGACGCTCGGCGAAATTGCGCAATGATTGGACGCGGGCGGGTTCAGGCTCACTGCGTAAATTGATGCGCGGGGCGCGCTTCCCATTGCCCGGGGGCCCCACTTAACGATCGGGCGCTGGCAGGTTTAGCGCGGAAATTACCACTCACGGGACGCCCTTCGCGCAAAGCGGCGCGCCCCGGCTTGCCCGCCCTACGATTTTCCCGCGCCATTGCCAGCGCTTCGCGCGCGAAAATCAGGACGGGAAGCGCTAATCGTAAAGCTGTTTTTTCCTTGCAAGAAGGAAAATCGCATATCGCTCATTTTAAGTACGCTTGGGAAATCCAATTTTGCGACGGGCGCTGGCCCGCCCCATTTTCTCGCGCGCCATGCGCGGGGGGGAAGGAGAAGAGGAGCGCGCAAACTAAACAAACAAACGCACTATACATATACATATATATAAAACGAAAACCCAAACACACAATCCGTGAAGCGGGTGCGCCGGGGCGCGCCACTTTACGCGAAGTGCGCTCTGCGTGTGAATTTGCCGGCTAAGCCCGCACCCGCCCGCTCGTTAAGCGGTGTACCCGGCAACCTATACTGCGCCCCGTGCGTGAACTTGCAAAATAGAACCCGCCCCCCGATGGATCGTCAACGCGGTTCTTTGGACAGCGCCCTGCAAGTCCCAGTGGTCTCGTCAGTCCCACAGGGCCCCCCGGGCCTCGCGGGTCGCGCATGTCCCGCGGGCCCCGCAGGTCTCGCAGGTCCCGCAGGTTCCGCGGGCCCCGCAGGTGCCGCAGGTGGCGCAGGCCCCACGGGCCCCGCATGCCTCACAGGTCCCGCAAGGCCCGCAAGTTTTTCGCAGTCTCTAGCAAGGCCGATGTTTTGCACAGGTCTCACAGGTCTTACAGGGCCCAAAGCTCCCACAAGTCTCCAGTCGCACAGGTCGCAAAGGTCCCGCGAAACCCACCGATCCTGCAAGTCGCCCAGCCCCGCATGTCTCGCGATCCCCACATGTCGCACAAGTCCCACAGGGACACAAGTCTCACACGTCCCACAGGACCCACAGGGCGGCACGCTAAAGGACGAGAGGGAATCGCGAGGAAACCCAATACTTGGGCAGGATTACCCATCCCCGTGAAAAAAACCTTTAGAACAAAAGTGGCACAGGGATGGAAGCCGAAAAGATGTAGATCAGACCAGGCGGGGCCCGTCGCATCAAGTGACATCCGCCTGTCAATGTCGCGGAAAAACGTCTCGTCAGCATTGCGCGATGCACGCTAGCTATCCGACTGGCGGGAACGACACCGCAAGGCAGAACGTAGAACCGCCCGCGCCAGCGGCCCCTTGGAGGATCAACGTGGAAGAGCACCTGGGCATTGAGCGGCGTCCGCCCCCCAACGTTGCCACTGGGCGCGCAAGCCAAAGTGCGGCATATCAATGGCCTGGCCCACGTTGCACGCCTGCGCACGCTGCCAGCATTTAAAAGGCGAATTTCACTGAATGGTCAATTTTGGGCGCTGCCGTCAGCAGATCACCGACGATGATCGTCTTGCTGATTTTGTTATAGCTTGTTTCCCGGCTGCGCGCGTGCGTCGGCGCCCAGGTTGGGGTGAGACAGGGGCGCGGCACGGGGTTCGCCGCGCAGGCGGTCGTTCCGCGTGTCCGTGGCAAGCGAAATCAGACATGTGAGCCGCTGTCGTTCCCG